TCTTAAACTCCCTAAACTGTACAAACGACCGGTTTCAATAGACCGGCGAAATTTCTCATTTTATTAAAGCACTGAGGTTACGACAACTTCGAGTTAAACTGATTTCACGGTTGTCAAAGAGCCCAGCGATTCCTTTTTCCCAGGTGAGCGCCGACTCATTTCGCTTCAATATTCAGGAACGCCCTCGATCTTTTTACGCTTTCATTGCCTCTCGTCCGACATGTTGTGCACGGCGTTTGGTCATGCGAAACCTCCACGAAACATCCACGCCTCGCGCGAGGTAACTTTATCCCGATTCTAAAAATAACTCGAGACGAATTACCTATGGAATAGGGTGTATATGGGGGATGCCCTCTCTGTCCCCTTTATAGTCTCTTGGCAATTTGTATATCCCCCGTGATCTTGGGGAGGCGAAGAGCAAATGCTCATCTTCTCGTCAAGTTTTAAAACGCCTGGACGATCCAGCCCCAAAGTTAACCATCGTACTAATCTGCATGATAGGCTCCTGCGTGTCTTAAATTAATTGGGTGGTTGTTTATATACCATTTACCAAAATGTTCCGAAAAATGCGATTGGAAAGTAAATGCTGTATCACGACTTTTTGGGTCGTTCCATCGAAAAATTGCCGGGAGCAACGGAACATCTGGGGTGCTTACCATTTGACAGAAAATTTCGGTAATCCCGGGCGGAAGGTAAATGGTAAGGTCACTTTCCCGGGGAGGACTCCGCATACGAAAGAGGTGGGGATGCTAGTCGGAAATTTTGAATTAAACCCCTAAAGGAGACCGATCTGGGCGTTTTTTTTTTTTTTGACTCCTAAAAGAGACCATGTTAAAACACAGAAAATAAATATATTTTTATATTTTTCGCCTGCAACCCTAAACGAGACCTTCACGGCTAAATATTATGGCGTTTTGCCCAGAACACCCTAAGTGAGACCAAAATCCGAAATTTACACCCCTAAGCGAGTCGACGAGCATCCCCACCCCTTTCATAGGATAAAAACTGTCCAGAACAATTCTTTTGCATAAAACTGGCGTGAAACTACTTATTTTTTAGTTGAAGTAATAAACAGGTAACTACAATTAAATAAGGAAACAGCTTGGTCACGTGGTACAAATTCACGTTTGGTGTAAACGTGAATCTTAATCTCTCTATTAGCAAAATGGAGTCGCGGTTCAGCATGCAGTTTATTTTCGGCGATCATTTTGATGACGTGTTGGCATTTTGGCAATGATGTAACTTCCCGAGGCTCTTGATTTTCGTGTATTCAAACAAGCCTAACCGCGTACATCGAATATAAAAAAATGAATTATTTCATATATACTTCACATAAAAACGTAAATTCGATCGTCGATAAAGACTAATTGTGCAAGACTAAAAGTGAGGCATGCAAGACTAAGTGAGGAAATCCTATTTCGTGTAAAAAGCCACGTTTTCGTGAAAGCGTTTGAAAGGGAGTGAATATTAAGAAGAGTTTCTCTGAATTGATGTAGCAATTCCTGAAACTCTACGGTAAAATAAATTCGCTGATTTACTGCCTGATTAACTTGGTTCAGTATGTATTTAATTGCCAACGAAGCAACCGAGCTGAGAAGCGAGGTTGCCTCGGCGGCAGATTCATAATCCCGCGCAATGTAGGCAAAAACTCTCAAATTCTGCGTAACCCTCTAAAATTTGCATTATTTGACCACATTTGGGTTTAAGTAAGACCCCATATTTGGGCAGTGATGTCATGATCTTCTATTTACAACTCGTGATTCGAAATTGGGTGATGTTGTGTGCAGCTGCTTGTTCAGTTTTCTGTTGAAGAGACCCTAACAGGTGAGCAAGCTTTAATGCGATTTCTAGTTTGAAAGGGCTATTAGTACTCGGGTCGGCTTTATGAATTGCGTTTAAGGCAGTAGCTGATCAAGAAATAGGGTTTTACGTTCCAATTATTGTCAGAACCAGCTTGTTCTTCGCAGCTCGATTTACATTAAGTAGCGTGTTCGCTTCTCGACTCAGAACCAGGGTTTTCAGTGTTATCTTTTCCTCTGTAAATTGAATTTTATGCGTTCGCTAATCAAGGAGTAGGGTTGTATTCTCAAAACTTTTATCAGAACCAGCGTGTTCTTCGCAGTTCGATTTACAATGAGCCGGTCCTCACCTCCCGTGAGGAATGTAACGCATTTAAGGTGGCTCGATGCAGTTTTTCAGGTTCAATATCTCCCAAGTTTGAGCATAAACTACGTCGCCATAAACAAAGATTTTGAAAAATTACCACCACAGTCGGCATCAGATAAAGATGAAAATTTGTTATGATCAAGGTTGCAATGACATCGGAGTTGTCATAGCAACGAAATGAGGTTATTACCGATTTTACTTGCAGTAGTATTTCTCGGCACTGGGAACTGCTCTTCCAGAATCGTTTACGGGAGCTATTTCCTCCAATAGCCTCCTCGATGTTCGTGCAGTTTAAGCGAAATCTGTACGAGCGTTATCGAGATATTTTGGGATAAAGTTCTTATGGTTAGAAATACGGTAAAAAAAGGAGAATCATGATGTTTGGCTGTTACCTGTAGAAAATGAAGCACTTTTAACATGCAACTTCAACTCATAGTAGTTTCAATCTTTTTAAAACGTGTGTGAAACATCATGGAGATCACGGAGCTCCAGCCAATTGCTAGAAAGAAGGTTTTGATTAGTATGTATCGAGGCGCTCTTGTTTGCGGTTTGTAAACATTTTGGTCTTATTACCTGCTTTTCAAGGACTCGCCGGGTGCGACACAAGGTCAGGTCTTGCAGGAAGAGGAAAGCGTACAGCAAGGTCAGTATGGATTAAGTTCAAGGTTGTTACGCCGCTCTACTTACACTTGCCCAAACACCAACGGCAGAACACATAGATGAGAGATTCGAGACCTACCATCAAGAGATTCGTCATTGTAATGTAGGACTTAGGCAAACTTTGTTCACACAGAACGGTAGGGAAATAGATAACATTCAGTCAACAAAGGATGCCCCACGTCAACACGTCCTTCGCACAGGATATCAGGCTGGTCATGTGTGGGGCCAGGTTCTCCCTAAAGCACCACAACTACCAAGCCCTGAATTCGGTTGGAAACGGGAAAATGCGTCTGCCTAGTGAGAAGTGAAGTGGACGCCGGCTGGTGCGGTGTGTTGTGCTGTCGCGTAGTGTAGATGCGTTAAACGCTAAAGAGAACGATGCAAGTGTGTAAAAGACAATTTGCCCTACCAAGAGAGGATAAAATCTCTAGGTCCCGCACATTGTTGTGCAAATGTGGTGGATGTCAGTACCATGGATGATTGAGACAACAATGTGTCGTGTAAGCCCCCACGCGTTTGATCATTGAACGTTAATACATTATATAACGTGAAAATTTGAGATGCTTTTCGGATAATGACGGCTGAGAAAATAGTGTTAGGAAGTCGTAATTTACACGTATAGTTTTAACCTTGAAACAACCACCCAAACTCTCCAAGACACTTTCAATGATATTTTGATGCCACATTTAATTACCCTTGGTGTAAGTTCAACAAGTTTAAATCTAAAAAAAATCAGTTTGGTATTGTACTCAGTCCCTAATACTTATCCACTGGATATCGATTTATCCAGTGGAGAGTACTGTCCATCTTTTGAACAACTGGGGCTAACAGTACTTCTCTGTGCTATCCTTTAATAGTCCCTTTATAAGGTCTATCACTGAATCTGTCACCCTTGCATTTCGTTTTATTCAGACTTTGATTGCTTGGCGCGAAGAGGAACAGTGGTTGTTTACGGTGGAGCTTCGGGCCCTCCCGATCCACTAAACGTCGGCACGTTAGCCAAGGGCTCCTCTTACGTGACCTTTGGGCATTTTCTCCACTTTGTAGAGGACCCCGCAGAATACAAACAGAGAGCTAACGAGCTATTTTCTTGGTTGGCCGAAGGAAAGCTTAAGTTTAGCGGAGGAATCACGGTTGTCCCTCTAGCTGACGCAAAGAAGGCTCATGATATGTTGGAGGGAAGGCACACTACAGGAAAAGTACTTATCCAGCCGTAATTGTTGGACCATGTTACTTGTAGTAGTCAATTTTAGTAAGCAGTATTAATGGGTTATCAGAACTAACCCAGCAACTGCTTAACCAAGGATTGATGATTATATCTAGGATATCATCTCATTTCTTAGCTCTTATCTGGTTATGTACTCTGCCTTAGACATATCAAAATGTGGTTTAACTTATATTTTAAGAATACACTGTTATTTATCTCATTTTCTTGTAAACTAGTTGCTGCTGTATATCTTGTGTATCTAAGACACCTCAAAATAATTGATGCAGAACTGTCGGGGACGTAAATCCCTGTATAGCCTGCGTAGCAGGCACCGGTGTTTTGGGGGACGAAGCGAAAGCAGAAATTTCGAGGACGCGCGCACGAGGGGAAAACTGAAGAGGAGTTGTTCCCCTCGCGCTCTTTATAAACACTTACCAAAAAAGCTAAGCCCTAATCATCAGGCTAATCCCTGTAAATCCCCGATGCACGAGTTGCTCGTGTATGTGGAAGAATTTGACAAGATTTATCCATGTCAATCGAAACTTGTCAAGACTTCTCTCATACTCCAATAGCGTGTTCAGGCTTTTCGGTGTTTGGCAGTGGCGGATCCAGGGGAGGGGCCCGAAGGGCAGAGAGAAAAAACTGGGGGGACCGCCTCCCTCCCCCCCTTATCTCGCGGTCTTGATCCGCCGCTGTTTCGTACGCTTTTTTACTTGGTCCACCCACCTCCCCGCAGCGATGAACTAGCTCTCTACCGTGAGCTCCCGACTCCTCCTACCTCGGGCTGAGTCTCCCATATCTTATTGGCATTACAGGCATCTGTTTGCGCATGGTCCCAGTGAGAATAAATTACAATGATAATGTTGAATGTATATCGATCGGTTGTTATGCCCAACGAAATTCAAAGGACTTGCCTTAAAAAATAAAGGTTTATTTTAGGTACAATTAGCCGTTGCCTTCCATTCAGTTTATTGATACGATGGAGTCCGCTAAGCTTAAAAGTTACTTAATATACACGCTGAGGAAATAAGTGCTTTACTGTGAAACTCACAAAACCCGGAACGCCATAAATATTTATGGCATGTTATTGTGTTGCGAGAAATAAGCTAATAAGGCTCGAGATAACTAAACCGCAACCAGCAACGGTAACTAGTTTGTGGTTTTGAGGTTTGCTCGCGTGTCCTGAACTTTATTGTGATTGGCCAGTACACAATCAACATTCCTGAAATTTGTTAGGTGTTCACAGTTTTCTCAGTTTGACAGTAAATCGGCCAAGAAATTGTCTAATTTTTTTTTAGAAATATGCATGGCATGTTGCCTATATCTCTTAAACTATAGAATATTATGAGCTGAGACTTTCACTATTGTATTTCTCTTAAATCATTGTAGCAAATTATTCATTGTTTGGATTAGTGCTGCGCATGACCAAAAAATCTATTTTGTGATATCATCTGTTGTGACGTCACAAAAATAAAATGTGATAATTCAAATCGGACAAGCTATTCAATTTCTGCAAAGTATATTGATTTTCTAGAGCCTATTATGATCTCTTGTGATTTTTTAATTGGCTACTAGAGAGTCACGTGAGCAGTAACCATAGAAACGTTTAATTCATTAATTCATTAATCCATTATTTCTTGAATCAAGTATTGTTGCTCGTATTAAATTCAGTGAAATGCTTATAAGGGATTAAAGTCCCAAGAATAAAAAAATTCTTGTACCTATGAGGCCCCCACAGTCCCCACAGAATCTTTTGACAGTGGGTGTTTAAGAACAAGATATTCTTTTATCTCATTCACATTTTTAATGGGTGAAAATCGCAGCTCGCGGCTAAACACCATGAGGTCACTGAAGTAGGCATGTGCTGTGGTTCTGCTATCTCTCTTTAAGCCAATATCGAACACTGAATGGCCTGAATTCATGAAGTCCTTCGAGTTGCTTGTTACGTTCTTACTGACATTCATCTCTCCGTTCATGAAAAGCCTCACGGTACCTTGTGTACGTCCCCAAGTCATTGCCACGTGAGTCCACTTGTTAACTACAACAGCATCTCTGCAATGTATGAGTGGGGATTGTTGAGTGGCATAAACGTTTTTAGCTCATTTTCCATCTCGATCTATTTGACTATGAGTGAATTTGTCACATGATTTGAATAAATCAAAATGGCGTATCCAAGATGGTGAACTTTTTCAACAAAACATCACTTCTATCGAAACTAAACTTCAAGGTCTTTAACGTGCTGTTGTTTACGTTGGCCGTCTAAATCCATACTTGTTTGAAATATTCATTAAGTATGGGAAGCCAATAAATTAAAATCAACAACGGTTTGTCGACATCAATTTACTTCAGATCAAAAGTTACACTTGTTTATAAGCTATTCATCCAGATGAATGAGATGACTTCGCCCCATAGTGTAAGGGATCCGGATTCCGAAATGCGAGAAATGTTTGCTTTTTGGAATCCGGAATCCGGGAAAATTTTGCTTGAGAAATCTGGAATCCTGGGCTCTGGAATCTGGAGTAAAGTTCAAAGAATCCGGAATCCCAGTAACGAATGAAACCCAGAATCCAAGTTTCACTGACAAAGACTGGGATCCAGTACCTGGTATCCGCAATTCACGACGTGGAATCCAGAATCCAAGACTGTCTTGGATTCCCTTTAATGGGACGAATGACTATCGACATTCATAAAAATACTAAGAAAATGTGAAGATACCTACCTTGTACAAAACCCAAAAATATTTTTTGCAATTGTTTTTCTCGCATCGGCACAAAAGTGACCGCTCGGGTCAATATACAATCGAAATGACCAAGGAGAAGACCAGTCGCCATAAACTGCATATTGTGCACCCGAGCTCTTCATTTTGATCCATACGGCGATTGTCAGGCTTGTGCGATGGATGGGAAGAGACGGAGTCTCCGCGAACGCCCCACTACTTCCGTCTAAATACAGAGCTATTCTTCCATCTTGCTTCTCGTATCTTGCAGATCCCTTTAAGCTGTAAAATGGCATAAACGTATAATCCGAAATGAAAACTTTCTCTGTGGTACTTTCCCTAAACGTACGAATGGAGTCAAGCGAAGAAATCTGGCCACTTGGAGGGTTCGTCACAGTTGGATCCCCACCCCGACAAAATACTTGTCTTTCCTAAGGTGTTAAAAATGTCTTGAGTGCATCAAGAATTTTGGGCCAAAATAATGAAATTAATGGCGCGGAAATTAACGTTTACTTTAACGTGACTTAAATTAACGCGAGTTTTTTTCGTGATCATGCGTAGGATGAATTTCATATAAAAACGTAGTCCCGAACCCACTACTGTCGGATATTTAGAAAACAGCACGTCCACCGATTACTGCCATCTCAAAGAGTTGCATTGTGTTTGTAGCAGAACACACAAGGAAAAACTACGCAGTTTGATTCATTATTTCATTAATTTTCTTACCTGACTTGACCGTCCATACCGTTGAGCCGCCAGAAAGAAAGGAGACCTGAAAAGAATTATCTCGCAGTTTCAGCGGACGGTGGTTAAGGAGACTCGACCCAGTTTTTTTGGGAGGGTACCATCCTACTTTGAAGCTCTCTGGTATCCCCACCTTTACTTTTATCGTAAGTGTAACACAGAATGGATAACATGTAGATCAATCTACAATATAACATAAAATTTTTGGCGATCGGAGTAACTGTCACAGGGTTATAATGCCACGCCCGTTTGAGGTCTGAGTCGAAAATCTGCTGTTGCCGGCATTTTTTCGTGAAAATCTCTCGGCTACACATAGTGCGCATTAGTGCCTTGCGCTGAACAGAGTTTCACCAAAATCGCAAAGACCCAATTCGAGAAATTCAGCGGTTTCCAGGTTCAGCCAAGCGTGGTCATTGCACGCGTGCTGAACAAGAATGCTGTATCATGACAGACTAGAAACAATAGACAACTCCCAAAGCACAAACTCAGCCAAAACGCTAAAAATCTTCAATGTTTACTCAAGTCTGGGCTTATAGAAGGTAATGTCACAGTTTTTCAATGACCATGAAATTCAGAGTCCGGGTAGTTAGTTAATCAATTGTGGCCCTGAAAAAATTTGAAGGAAAAAAAACTACGAATTTTTAAGAAAATGCTTTTTTCGTGAGATTGACTCTTAAACGCTGACAAACGTCAACAAATAGCGAAAACTATAATTTCTATATGTTTGCTTTGCTCGAAATCGCGCGCATTTACAAGGCCCTAAATTGTTTTGCTGACTTGCAAGGACCCATCTGTTGTAACGATGCGCAAAATAAAGAGATGAATCTCATAGTCTATTAGATATAATCCGTGTAAAGTTTGCTTATCATTTTCGCATAAATTATGACCTAAATTTGGAAACCGCTGAATTTCTCGAATTGGGTCTTTGCGATTTTGGTGAAACTCTATTCAGCGCAAGGCACTAATGCGCACTATGTGTAGCCGAGAGATTTTCACGAAAAAATGCCGGCAACAGCAGATTTTCGACTCAGACCTCAAAGGGGCGTGGCATTATAACCATGTGACATTTACTCCGATCGCCAAAAATTTTGTTATATTGTAGATTGATCTATATGTTATCCATTCTATGTGTTATACTTACTATAAGAGTAAAGGTGGGGATACCAGAGAGCTTCAAAGTAGGATGGTACCCCCCAAAAAAACTGGGTCGAGTGACCTTAAAGGCTTTAAACCCCGCAAAAAAAGAAACGCAAGTATAAAATAAATTAAAAAAGATAAAAGGAATGAAATATTAAAAAGGGGTTACTGATGTCTCTTAAACTATGTAGCAAGTCAAAGATCAGAGAGAAATAGGCATGATAAGAAACCACACCTCATCGTAGAATAACACTGAAAAATTACAAACAATTGTAAAAGACTGAAGCCCAGGCCAAACGTCGAACTTTTCATGAGACGAACCAAACTCTAATTTGGGTCAACCTAAATTAAGTTAAGATCGTTTGTTGGGTCAGACGTCGAACTTAGGACGCTTCGAACTAATCGTCTGAATCAGATTGGTAATAGACGTTCTCCCAGACGAGGCTAAATAAACATTATTATACAAATTTTCAATGCATTAGTTCAGTTCGTCGCATGTTAAGATCGACATCAGTTTGTCCCGGAGACGATCTTCACAGGGGCACCCAGCGACTTTTTCTTTCTTAACGGTTCGAAGGAGCAAATGCTGCCTAGAAATTTCTAAAGCTTGAGACGAGCTAAAAATGTCTGGATAACCATTCAATTCGTCTCAGATATTCGGAGGTTTTCTGATAGCTTAACTACGATTTTCGGAGGTTGTGTTATTCACATTTTAATACCAAGATATTGCGATTATTATTTTAAAAAGGTCTCCTAAAACTTTCGGTATAAAAACAAAACGTTCCCTATAATTTTCTAATGAAAGCAAGGCTACTTCACGTCCTCAAACTTTCGACGAGACTCATGGGTAGCGAACACTTTCGGATGAGACGAAAAAGCCACGTAAAACTTTTGTGACGACCAAAGTTCCCCTAAAACATCCGAACAGATAAAAAGTTTTTGGGGCAACTCCAAATTAACCAAACAGTCTTCTAAAGCATAGAGCAAACCATCTGAGACACTTCTAACGTATTTGGAAACATTCCCTCGTTGGGTGCCCCTGTCTTCAGACGTTAATTCTATCCGTCTGAAGCAGGCGGATAGAACGTGTTGGACGATCCAAACCCGTTCAGACGAACGTAACTGAGCCAGACGTCGAACTTTTCATGAACTTAACTTACCAAGTTTTTGTAGTTCGACGTTGGCCTAGGCCTAAGTCACTTCTGATCAGTTACTTCTGGGCTCTTATAAGTGCTTAATAAGGTGTGTGTTCTTTTCTTTCGTATTTATAGTAGTAATTCATGCAAATCATGTAACAATAATTAGCTCACGAGAGTAAATACATACACCTTATTGGATGGTTTAGCATATAATACGTGCGGATATTTTGCGAGTTGCGTGGTATTTTTCCGAGCCCCGCAGGGGCGAGGAAAAATACGAATAAGAGGTTTATTATTCCACTACAAAAAAAAAATTATCTTTATTCCACTACAAAAAAAATGATCTGACAATTGGCTTCTATTTTTTGGTAAGAGTATTCAGAGACATCCTAATTCTGTCTGTGAGAATGACGTTAACAATTAGCAAAATGTTCGCGCGTATTATATGCCAAACCATTGAATGAGAGGTTAATTATTTTACTGCAAAAGAAAAATGGTATTTTGGCTTCTATTTTCTAATGAGAGTATCCAAAACATCCTGATTCTGTCAGCCACAGTTGCTCCTTTTGCATCCGCTGGTATTCGCCCCGTTGTAAACCGGTTAAACCAAGACACTACGGTGTATTACGGCGGCGTATTTTGCTTGTTCTCTTGACCTTATATGGTAAAAGGACATAATAGTGGAACAATAATAAGAGTTGATGCGTCTGCTCGCAAAAGAGGATCTGAATGGGAGTATACCTCGATAACATTAAACACTTCATTTTTCAATTGGCTTTGTAACACGAAACACTTAAATTTTAGGCATTTTAACACTAACAGTAAAAAATTCTTTAAAACAGTATATTTTTTCCAGAAGGAAGCAAAAACGGCTTTAAAAAGGCCAATATTATTCTGTTTAGTATATCAAGGAGGCTACCGACGATTCCCGAACAGTGTCAAAGATTTCCGAAGTCTAACGAAGAGGTCCGACCATTGCCGACGATGTCCGAAGAACCCTCCAAACACTATTACGAAAAGTATTTTCTTCGGAAACAGTAAACATTAAAAAAATTGGCCAATTTAACAGCAAACACTAAAAATTAAGGGCAAATAACACTAAACACTAAACCCCATTCAGACCCTCGTAAAATGCTTTACGATCGATGAAATTATGAAGCGAATCATAAGCATTTGCTATATCGTTTGAGAATCGGATATCTGTTTAATGAGGTCCGGCAGTAGGGCTGTTAAGGATATTACGGCCCGCACACGGTAGCTACCTTCTCTTGCTACCTATTTTTGTCTTGAAAGCGTCTAAGAACTCGATTTGTTGGGAAGTTCGTTTGGAAGTTTGGAAGTTTGTTTCGCTGTTTCACCAGTTCCCAGTCCCCGCCGCGTAGCACCCAATTTGTGAGTATACCACGCACGATTTACCGACAGGTTTTCAGCGTAAGCTTTCGTGTAAGCAGCATGTAAGCTTAAGTTACTCATTTGCTTGTCATGTCAGTTGTAAAGTTAAGTATTTTGGAAAGGCAGCGAACGTTTAAGTGAGGATTCGAGGGGAAGACATTGTTCTTTCATGTGTTTCGCAGCACTTTCTGTCCATGAGCCCGGCCAGTTATTAGCTGTGCTGATCGTTGTGGATCAAGAACACAATCGATGAGACAATTTAGCACAGCTACGAGAAGACAATTAGTTTCAAAGCTCCCTAAATAATCAACTCAGCAGAATCATTTTTAGCAGACAACCTTCCTGTTGTAGTTCACTACTTTTTCTAACGAGGTGAACGCAGCAAGGAGGCGCCGAAAAAGAAGTAAAAGTAAAAGAATGAATACAACAGAAATGAATATGTACAATTCACTGACAATTCACTAAATCGAAGATGCTTTCTGAAAGTTTTTTTTAAAATATGGCTTTGTTGTGTATTTGTCAATAACAATCCTTATTGATTTTGGAGTATGCATTTCATTTTATCAGAGATCTGATCCGTCTGAAAGAGGGGATTGCCCCGTGTGTAGAGAAGATAGAAAAGGACCGTGTGACAGACAGAGCGAGACTTATAACATAAAATGTGCTGAGTGTAATGACATTTATATCGGAGAAACATCAAGGAGCGCGTATACTAGAGGAAAAGAACACATGAAGTTACTGGCCAAAAAGAAAGAGAGATCAGCCTTCTTTATGGAAGCACTGTAAAGAGAAACACAACAGTGAAATACAGAAATTTGAAATGAACGTTACCGGTTCTTACTCCAACGACGCCATGTTGAGGCAGATATCGGAGAATGTTAGGATAGATCAAGTACCGGAAGGCTCGTTGATGAACTCTAAGAACGAATGGAATTATTCCCGCGTTCCACGCGCGGTAGTCGCAGGTGACCACGTGAAATAGAATACACCATGTTGGCTTACATGACACTGGCGAAAACGCAGACTATTTTGGTGCATCTTACATGAAATAAAAAATTATTGACTGACGCGGGCTTGAAGAGCGAATTATATTTCGTGGATTTTAAAACATGTTTATTTTTACATTTTACATTTCTATACGTGCGTCGAATGTGGCAAAGACGTGATATCTTATTTTGCAAGTAGTTCAAGTTGAATTATAGTCACACATCAAGATAAAGCTAAAGTTAATAACAAGCTTAAAAAGTACAATATAACTCAACTTCAAAATCGTGCATTTTGTATTTTATACATCATAGTCTCTCTTTTGTCTCGTCACGAAATGCTCCTAGCTTTGCGTGACGAGACTAAAATCTAAGACCTTGAAGACCATCTGATATCCTAAACCGAGATACAATCGATTATTTACTACCGTTCCAACCCCTTGATCATTCTACATTGGGCCGCACTTCACTTCCAGTATGGAACCCTTAATCAATAGTTCTTAGATTCAGTACTTAACGTACAGCGGATCAACCTACCATTAAACAAGTCCCACTGGCCTGATGTGGATTCATCTTTGCCTGCGATAAAAGGGAGATTTTTTAAAATTACCACAATTTGTTTGATTTATTCACTAGATTTGGTTCTCAAATATTTCTTTACAAAAGGCCGCTTTTAACTTTACTGAATTCATGTAAGATGGAGAGGTTTTCCACTTTTAAAGATTAAAGTTTAAAGGCTTTTCCCAATTTTAAAGATTCCTCGTTTTTGTAAAGATTCCCCATTTGAAAGATTCACGCTTTATACATTCCCCATTCGTTGATCCCCCGTTCCAACGGAATATCCGGTGTGAAATATGAAGGAGAAACGTACACAGGGTAGTCAAACGTAGTGGAATTTTAGAGAACGTAAAAAATAGTCAGTTTAAGCTGAGTGGGAGGTGGTCCCTGTATGCTAGTCGGGCAGGTTATTTTTGCTTTGCTTCTCTGGATCATGTTACGAAAGAGGATCGTTATTAAAACAAAATAGCTTTTCAGAATCACGACCGAGAGAGAGCTGCCTAGACGGATTTGTTTACTTTTGCTGTGAAAAACATCCTTGACATAAAACGGGTAGGGCATATTTTAGGATGGGCGCTTTCCATTTAGGAAAAAAACCCGGAAATTTCGGTGGTAGCAAAAGTGGAATTTCCAATTGGTAAAAAGTTGTTCCATTTGGTCGTAAACCCCGGTAAATAGCGGTGCCCGACAGTGGACCTGGAACTGGTACAAACTACGAGAAACGTAAATAGAACACGACATTCCGTTCGGAAATTCCAACAGGGAAACGGGACCACCTTTTTAGATTTTCCACTTTCTCTGGGAATTTTCCAGTGGGACGAACCGACGAAACGTGTTCCATTTACCACCGAACCGGAAATTCCGGAAATTTTGACTAAATGGAAAGCGCCCGATATTTAATTTCGACACTAAATTTCCACCTCCTCCACTTAGTTTATCGGAATTGGAAGTAGCCAACGACTTGAGGAAGCCTTCTGCAAACCGTTTAGTTCTCACAATTTACAAACTACAATTTTGGTAAGTTTTCTCTTTTTGAACCTGAATAAAAAAAAATCCTTAAGAATTCAACTCCAGGAAAAGTCGCCTGCATTTGACATATTGAGCGGGCCCAAATAGATGGAATTAAGTTTGAAAGAACACAGATTCATTTCTTTACCGACGTTTTCAGTACAGTCTTTGTCGAACCTTGCTTAAGGTCCCTGATAATGATGATGATGATGAGGACGACGACGACGACAATGATGCAGCATTACTGGTCCACAATCGGTCACCTTCTATCTCCGACTGTATTTTACTCTACTCTATTTTTGAAATAAAGCCAAATTAAATGTATCAAGCGCTTGATGGCCTCTTAACAGAGGTGAAAACAATGAGAGAACTTTCGCTAATTGAGGTGGCCGCTTGATAAAGGTTTTTAAATTTCCAATTCTTTTCTCACTACAAATTTTTCGGGACTTGGACTATCGGCCACTCAATAGCTATAGAGGGTAGCTGATTGATAGAGGTTCAACTGTACATATTTTCATTTACAAAATAATCATATTGAAGAGAGGTAAAAGATTCGAAAGTCAAAATTCGATACAATAAACATCTTGATTACTCAGTGTTAACTTTGGAATGCAGGAATGTAGATCTTCTTAAAGGGTATTCGGTAGTGATTCGTTACTGGCAACATGCTTTGTAAAGGTAAATTTACTTTCTTTGACGAGTAGCTTGAATTCGTTTCGAATGGACGGTCTGAAAAAAATGACGTTGAACATTACTTAGTGAATCAGGTGAAGGCAAATTAGCATCCTGGAAAGCCAATCATTGCATAATACTGGTCCGTTGTTTATTCTTATCCGTTCAATGAACTTTGCAAAAGAGGTTACTGATCAGGGGCACCCAACAAGGATATAGTTCAAAACCACTTAACACAGCATTGTTGAACGTATTTTAGTATTTAAACGGTAGATATAGGCATATTTTTATCCCCTAAAAACTTTTCATCTGTTCTGATTTCCTAGCTGAAAGTCTAGTGATCCGAAAATTATAGGGATCAAAACTTACCTTTTCGAAAATTTCAGCCAGGAAAAGGCTCCCGAAAATTCTAGGTGGCCTTTTTATGGGTAAAAATCCTTTAAAAATGGTTAATTATACCATTTTGTAGATGTTCGAAAATCCTAGGAGAGGCAGGCAAGCAAGAAATTTTACAACAAATGTTCCGAAAATTCTAGATCTCAAATCGTCTTCCGAACAGATATTTTCCGAAAATTGCCGTTGGGTGCTCCTGACTGATAGGAAATGATCTTTAGATACTATCTTTCTCTCAAAGACATTCATCTAGCTCTAGATTAAAGACGTTTTCCTATCCTGTAGTCTGGAACTGCGTTGAGACGATTAAACCAATTTTTTTTCATTCTTGGTTTCCACTACTTAATTGCGCCGCCTAAGCGTTGAAGACACAAAACACGGATGCGTAGAAGACTACTTACAGGTTTCCCAAAACAATGTCACAAATCACGGATTGAGAGAGGTAAATCATTGATTACTAAGGACGTTATTGTTGTCTTACCAAGTAGCCTTAACAGCTCGTCTAATCGATGAAGCAGTACCTCTTTCAACTGCTTAACTTCTTTCTTTAGGGAAGTGATTTCATTGGCAGCAGCAGCCGAGCTACAAATCTGCTGTACTACGAATTTACCGTCGGACAAGGTGACATTGTCCACTGAAACGTTCTTTACTCCAGTCTGGGACCTGGTGGCAGATGCATACAGGCAGGCGCTGAGAAAAAACACAAAGGTTGTCTTGATATCCATAGCAAATTCTTTTCTTAATGCCTGTTCAGTTTGGAGTAGAGACTTAGATCCTTGACTGCCTTTAAGTAATGAAGTCGATCTCCGAACCAACTTGTATCTATACCGTTAAACCTTGTGACGTCATCTTATTTATTTTTGCCAGGTGTTTGGTTTCGATGTTTTTCTAGGACAGGGAGCTGCACGCGTGTGTCTGAAAGTCGGCGAAGGACAATACAAACAAAATGGCACAACCTCGTGAAGCTACGGACGGGTATTTTAAATGATGGATGGAGTCCATTGGTAAATTAAAATATTAATTTTGTAGATTTCGAAGCTACGTTATTGGCGGTCAGAATTTTGACACTTGTCTAGGCACAGATGGCCCAAACTCGACTTATATGACCATCGGCATTGTTGTGTAACCTTCGAATTCTAAGGATTTGTATGGGGAAAATTCGATTGTTTCTGTAAGCTACGAATTAGAAAGGATTTAGACTTGAAAATCGGCTAACCTCAATAAACCTCACTTGGGTTTCTTCTCTCCTCTATGGTTCCCGGAGCCACAGCAAATTACTTTAGTGTATCAAATTCCATTTAGGACTCCCCTTATACAAGCACTTAAAGGGGCTGTGTCACGGCAGATCAGTTCATTTTGTTTAATTTTGCCAGTTACTCGCCCTCAATCGCTATGGAACTTAAAATAAGCAAAGAAATTACATGTAAATGACAAAATCAGAGACCCGAGACAAACAAATCTGTCTCCTGAGCATTATTTTTGAAGTTACAAGCAGCAGGGATGAACTTTGAAAAACTGTTGGGCTGAACAGTTTTCAAAAATCCTAATTTCAGTCCGTTTCAATCTTCTTCAGTTTTGCCCGTCCGTGACATCTGTTGTTTCTGCTATGTTAATTTAACCTTCCTTTAAAGTTTTAAGCGTTTATTTTTATGTTTCTCTTCATTTAACGGGCATTTTGTAACAGTTCCTAATTTGGCAGAATTTCGTGACACATCTCCTTTAAAAACTTCTGAGATATTTTTCCCTACTGTTATCCGTTTTGCAAAAGAAAACCTGGAACCATAAACTTGGTGATCATGGAAATTTTAATAACTAAGGATGAATAAAAACTTCAAATTCAGGTCTCAAGCTAATTTTTCTCCTCAAGGCCTTTGGAAGGAGACAAACATAGACTATTCGAGGACAAAGAGGCTTGAAGCTGGAAGTTGGAAGTTGTAATTAGTTTTAAGTTAAAAGTAGAGAGTTGAAAGGCGGAGGGTGGAAGCTCCTCCACGGCTTTCGGTTTGGCCAACCACAAGGCAGAGCAGCATAAAAATTATGTAATTTATAATGACCCCACTTTTCAGACATGCAAAAAGACATGCAAAAAGCCCCCACCTATAATGTAATCCTATACTTTTTTTCCTTGTGAAGACAAACAATATTTTACATTCCGGAGCGACCCCGCATTCAAGTACACCTGACTCATGATGTTGATATCTATTTCTGACTGCCAAAAATCTCTTCAGTTGATATCAGAATGACAAAGTCCTTCAACTCACCTTTACCGCCTCTATTTTCGGCACATACAGGTTCTCAATAGCATGACATTTTCTCACTTGCAGATCACTTTCCAGCCAGCTGCAATTTGTATATCCCCCGTGATCTTGGGGAGGCGAAGAGCAAATGCTCATCTTCTCGTCAAGTTTTAAAACGCCTGGACGATCCAGTCCCAAAGTTAACCATCATACTAATCTGCATGATAGGCTCCTGCGTGGCTTAAATTAATTACGTGTTTTTTTTTTTATATACCATTTACCAAAATGTTCCGAAAAATGCGGTTGGAAAGTAAATGCTGTATCACGACTTTTTGGGTCGTTCCATCGAAAAATTTCCGGGAGCAACGGAACATGTGGGGTGCTTACCATTTGACAGAAAGTTTCGGTAATCCCGGATGGAAGGTAAATGGTAAGGTCACTTTCCCGGGGGGGGCTCCGCATATGAAAGGGGTGGAGATGCTCGTCGGAAATTTTGAATTAAACCCCTAAAGGAGACCGATCTGGGCGTTTTTTTTTTTTTTTTTGACCCCTAAAAGAGACCATGTTAAAACACAGACAATATATATTTTTTTATATTTTTGGCGTGCAACCCTAAACGAGACCTTCACGGCTAAATATTATGGCTAAATATTATTATATTATTATAACACCCAAAGTGAGACCAAAATCCGAAATGTACACCCCTAAGCGAGACGACGAGCTGAGCATCCCCCCTTTCATGGGATAAAAACTGTCCAGAACAATTCTTATGTATAAAACTGGCGTGAAACTACTTATTTTTTAGTTGAAGTAATAAACGGTTAACGAAATAATAAACTGCCAAGTGTACCACTAAACTGTAAAGAACAAGAGTCTTTAACATCCGCCTTTTTAAAATCGAAAAAGCCCAGCAGACTAGCTTATCAAAAACTGGTGGAATTAAAATGTAACCATAAAATTTCTAGTCAGGAGAAATGTAGCAAAGTTTTCCCAGAGGCTCGTGATTTAAACTGGCATAACGCATATATGACCGCTTTTAAATGTACTAAAAGCACCAAACTGACTGAATTTCAATTTAGATTCCTTCATCAAACTTTGGCAACAAACGTATCTTTAGTCAAAATGGGATACAAAGATGATATTAGGTCTTCATTTTGCCATGAAGAAGCTGAAAACTTCGCGCATCTTTTCTGGTTCTGCAGCAAAATAGAACTTTTCTGGAAACACCTTATTGCCTTTCTAAAGGATCGTAAACTTTTACCCAACGACTATCTCCTTAACAGTCTTGTCGTCTTGGGTCTGATGCCTGATACTTCTAAAAACAAAGCCGCAATTAACTTCGTTCTGTTACTTGCGAGATTCTACATTTGGCTTTGCAGAAGTAAAGGAAATATACCAACTATTGAAAATTTTAAGCCTTTTTTAAAACAATATAATAAAGAAATTGAACCTTTCCCTCTTTAGTAACCTTTTACCAGTTTGGGGTCTCTCGCTCTTTTTACACTTTCCTTCCTACTAGACATTCCCTTCCTATTTTCCTCGCTTCAACTTTCAAAGTATATAAAGCTAATTTCCGTGAATCAGCGGAGAAAATATCTTTAATCTCTTTTTTCTCCTTTGAGTTAGAACTACAGTTAACTAAAATTTGCCATACTTCCCACCCCCTTTTCTTTTTTTCTGTTTTTGTAGCGTATGTAATCCGTAATGTAAGTAGTGCAAGTAGCTGTTTTATATATGTAAAGCGTGAAGTATAGTACTTTTAGTAGTGTAAGCATCTCATTGTAAGTAAGTATTGCAAGTTTTGTATTGCAAGTAGAGTATAGTATTGTTACTACCGTAAGTATCTCACATTGTAAATAAGTTTTTTTTTTTGTAAGTAGAGTATAGTTCTGTTAGTAGCGTAAGTATCATACATTGTTTGTAAGTAAGTATTGTAAGTAAGTACCTTGCAATTGAAAATAAAAATTTAAAAAAATAAATAAATAAATAAATAAATAAACAGTTAACGACAATTAAGGGAACAGCTTGGACACGTTGTACAAATTCACGTTTGGTGTAAACGTGAATCTTAATCTCTCTATTAGCAAAATGGAGTCGCGGTTCAGCATGCAGTTTATTTTCGGCGATCATTTTGATGACGTGTTGGCATTTTGGCAATGATGTAACTTCCCGAGGCTCTTGATTTTCGTGTATTCAAACACGCCTAACCGCGTACATCGAATATAAAAAAATGAATTATTTCATATGTACTTCACATAAAAAAGTAAATTCGATCGTCGATAAAGACTAATGGTGCAAGACTAAAAGTGAGGCATGCAAGACTAAGTGAGGAAATTCTATTTCGTGTAAAAGGCCACGTTTTCGTGAAAGCGTTTGAAAGGGAGTGAATATTGAGGCGAGTTTCTCTGAATTGATGTAGCAATTCCTGAAACTCTACGGTAAAATAAATTCGCTGATTTACTGCCGGATTAACTTGGTTCAGTATGTATTTAATTGCCAACGAGGCAACCGAGCTAAGAAGCGAGGTTGCCTCGGCGGCAGATTCATAATCCCGCGCAATGTAGGCAAAAACTCTCAAATTCTGCGTAACCCTCTAAAATTTGCATTATTTGACCACATTTGGGTTTAAGTAAGACCCCATATTTGGGCAGTGATGTCATAATCTTGTATTTACAACTCGTGATTCGAAATTGGGTGATGCTGTGTGCAGCTGTTTGTTCAGTTTTCTGTTTAAGAGACCCTAACAGGTGAGCAAGCTTTAATGCGATTTCTAGTTTGAAAGGGCTATTAGTGCTCGGGTCGGCTTTATAAATTGCGTTTAAAGCAGTAGCTGATCAAGAAATAGGGTTTTACGTTCCAGTTATTGTCAGAACCAGCTTGTTCTTCGCAGCTCGATTTACATTAAGCACCGTGTTCGCTTCTCGACTCAGAACCAGGGTTTTCAGTGTTATCTTTTCCTCTATAAATTGAATATTATGCGTTAGCTAATCAAGGAGTAGGGTTGTATTCTCAAAACGTTTATCAGAACCAGCGTGTTCTTCGCCGTTCGATTTACACTGAGCCGGTCCTCACCTCCCGTGAGGAATGTAACGCATTTAAGGTGGCTCGATGCAGTTTTTCAGGGTCAATATCTCCCAAGTTTGAGCATAAACTACGTCGCCATAAACAAAGATTTGGAAAAATTGCCACCACAGTTGTATCAGATAAAGATGAAAATTTGTTATGATCAAGGTTGCAATGACATCGGAGTTGTCATAGCAACGAAATGAGGTTATTACCTATTTTACTTGCAGCAGTATTTCTCGGCACTGGCAACTGCTCTTCCAGAATCGTTTACCGGAGCTTTTTCCTCCAATAGCTGCCTCGATGTTCGTGCAGTTTAAGCGAAATCTGTATATGTAAGAGCGTTATTGTGATATTTTGGGATAAAGTTCTTATGGTTAGAAATACGGTAAAAAAAGAAAGGAGAATCTTGATGTTTGGCTGTTATCTGTAGAAAATGAAGCACTTTTAACATGCAACTTCAACTCATAGTAGTTTCAATCTTTTTAAAAACGTGTGTGAAACATCATGGAGATCAGGGAGCTTCAGCCAATTGCTAGAAAGAAGGTTTTGATTAGTATGTATCGAGGCGCTCTTGTTCGCGGTTTGTAAACATTTTGGACTCGCCGGGTGCGACACAAGGTCAGGTCTTGCAGGAAGAGGAAAGCGTACAGCAAGGTCAGTATGGATTAAGTTCAAGGTTGTTACGCCGCTCTACTTACACTTGCCCAAACACCAACGGCAGAACACATAGATGAGAGATTCGACACCTACCATCAAGAGATTCGTCATTGTAATGTAGGACTTAGGCAAACTTTGTTCACACAGAAAGGTAGGGAAATAGATAACATTCGGTCAACAAAGGATGCCCTACGTCAACACGTCCTTCGCACAGGACATCAGGCTGGTCATGTGTGGGGGCAGGTTCTCCCTAAAGCACCGCAACTACCAAGCCCTGAATTCGGTTGGAAACGGGAAAATGTGTCTTCCCAGTGAGAAGTGAAGTGGACGCCTGCTGGGGCACTGTGTTGTGCTGTCGCGTAGTGTAGAAGCGTTAAAGGCTACAGAGGACGATGCAAGTGGGTAAAAGACGAGTTGCTCGTGTATGTGGGAGAATTTGACAAGATTTATCCATGTCAATCGAAACTTGTCAAGACTTCTCTCATACTTCAGTAGCGTGTTCAGGCTTTTGGGTGTTTGGCAGTGGCGGATTCAGGGGAAGGGCCCGAAGGGCAGCAAGAAAAAATCTTGTTCTTCAATTTCTGCAAAGTATATTGATTTTCTAGAGCCTATTGTGATATCTTGTGATTTTTTTAATTGGCTACTAGAGACTCACGTGAGCAGTAACCATAGAAACGTTTAATTCATTAATCCATTATTTCTTGAATCAAGTATTGTTGCTCGTATTAAATTCAGTGAAATGCTTATAAGGGATTAAAGTCCCAAGAATAAAATCACACCCCCACAGTCCCCACAGAGTCTTTTGACAGTGGGTGTTTAAGAACAAGATATTCTTTTATCTCATTCACGTTTTTAATGGGTGAAAATCGCAGCTCGCGGCTAAACACCATGAGGTCACTGAAGTAGGCATGTGCTGTGGTTCTGCTATCTCTCTTTAAGCCAATGTCGAACACTGAATGGCCTGAATTCATGAAGTCCTTCGAGCGCCTTGTTACTTTCCTACTGACATTCATCTCTCCGTTCATGAAAAGCCTCACGGTACCTTGTGTACGTCCCCAAGTCATTGCCACGTGAGTCCACTTGTTAACTACAACAGCATCTCTGCAATGTAAAGCGAGGATTGTTGAGTGGCATAAACGTTTTTAGCTCATTTCCCATCTCGATTAATTTGACTGTGAGTGAATTTGTCACCTGATTTGATTAAATCAAAATGGCGTATCCAAGATGGCGAACTTTTCAACAAAACATCACTTCTATCGAAACTACACTTCAAGGTCTTTAACGTGCTGTTGTTTACGTTGGCCGTTTAAATCCATACTTGTTTGAAATATTCATTAAGTATGGGAAGCCAATAAATTAAAATCAACAACGGTTTGTCGACGTCAATTTACTTCAGATCAAAAGTTACACTTGTTTATAAGCTATTCATCCAGATGAATGAGATGACTTCGCCCCATAGTGTAAGGGATCCGGATTCCGAAATGCGAGAAATTTTTGTTTTGGGGAATTCGGAATCCGGGAAAATTTTGCTTGAGAAATCTGGAATCCTGGGCTCTGGAATCTGGAGTAAAGTTCAAGGAATCCGGAATCCCAGTAACGAATGAAATCCAGAATCCAAGTTTCACTGACAAAGACTGGGATCCAGTACCTGGAATCCACAATTCACTACGTGGAAACCAGAATCCAAGACTAGTTTGGATTTCCTTTCATGGGACGAATGAATATCGACCGTTCGTAAAAATACTAAGAAAATGTGAAGATACCTACCTTGTACAAAACCTAAAAATATCTTTTCCAGCTGTATTTCTCGCCTGGGCACAAAAGTGACTGCTCGGGTCAATAAACAATCGAAACGACCAAGGATAAGACCAGTCGCCATAAACTGCATATTGTGCACCCGAGCTCTTCATTTTGATCCATACGGCGATTGTCAGGCTTGTGCGATAAATGGGAAAAGACGGAGTCTCCGCGAACGCCCCACTACTTCCGTCTAAATACAGAGCTGTTCTTCCATCTTGCTCCCCGTATCTTGCAGATCCCCTTAAGCTGCAAAATGGCATAAACGTATAATCCGAAGTGAAAACTTTCTCTGTGGTACTTTCCCTAAACGTACGAATGGGGTCGAAATCTGGCCACTTGGAGGGTTCTTCACAGTTGGATCCCCACCCTGACAAAATACTCGTCTTTCCTAGGGTGTTAAGAATGTCTTGAGTGCATCGAGAATTTTGGGCCAAAATAATGAAATTAATGGCGCGGAAATTAACGTTTACCTTAACTTAATGTGACTTAAATTAACGATAATGTTTATGATGCGTCGGATCAATTTCCTATAAAAAGGTAGTTCCTAACCCACTATGTCAGATATTTAGAAAGCAGCACCAAATACTGCCATCCCACAAAGAGGTGCTATTGTGTTTGTAGTCAGGAAAACACAAGGAAAAACTACGCAGCTTGGTTCATTATTTCATTAATTTTCTTACCTGACTTGACTGTCCGTACCGTTGAGCCAGAAAGAAAGAGGACCTAAAAGAAATTATCTCGCAATTTCAACAGACGGTGGTTAAAGGCTTTAAACCGTCCAAAAAAAGAAACGCGAGTATAAAATAAATTTAAAAAGATAAAAGGAATGAAATATTAGAAAGGGGTTACTGATGTCTCTTAAACTATGTAGCAAGTCAAAGATCAGAGAGAAATAGGCATGTTAAGAAACCACACCTCATCGTAGAATAACACTGAAAAATTACAAACAATTTTAAAAGACTGAAGCCCAGGCCAAACGTCGAACTTTTCATGAGACGAACCAAACTCTAATTTGGGTCAACCTAAATTAAGTTAAGATCGTATGTTGGGTCAGACGTCGAGCGTAAGACGTTTCGAACTAATCATCTGAATCAGACTGGCAATAAACTTTCTCCCAGACGAGGTTAAATAAACATTATCATACAAATTTTCAATGTATTAGTTCAGTTCGTCGCATGTTGAGATCGACATTTGTCCCCGAGACGATCTTCACAAGGGCACCCAGCGACTTTTGCAGTAAAATAACTGTTCGAAGGAGCAAATGTTGCCTAGAAATTTCTAAAGCTTGAGAAGAGCTAAAGATTTCTAGATAACCATTCCATTCGTCTCAAATATTCGGAGGTTTTCTGATAGCTTAACTACGATTTTCGGAGGTTGTGTTATTCACATTTTAATACCAAGATATTGCGACTATTATTTTAAAGAGGTCTCCTAAAACTTTCGGTATAAAAACAAAACGTTCCCTATAATTTTCTAATGAAAGCAAGGCTACTTCATGTCTTCAAACTTTCGACCAGACTCATAAGGGTAGCGAACACTTTCGAATGAGACAAAAAAGCCACGTAAAACTTTTGTGACGACCAAAGTTCCCTTAAGACATCCGAACAGATAAAAAGTTTTTGGGGCAACTCCAAAATTAACCAAACAGTCTTCTAAAGCATAGCTAAAGCATAGAGCAAACCATCTGAGACATGTCTGGCGTATTTGGAAACATTCGGTCGTTGGGTGCCCCTGTCTTCAGACGTTAATTCTATCCGTCTGAAGCAGGCGGATAGAACGTGTTGGACGATCCAAACCCGTTCGAGACGAACGTAACTGAATCAGACGTCGAACTTTTGATGAACTTAACTCACTAAGTTTGGTTCGTCTTATGAAAAGTTCGACGTTGGCCTAGGCCTAAGTCACTTCTGATCAGTTACTTCTGGGCTCTTATAAGTACGTATAAGGAGTGTGTTCTTTAGTAGTAATTCATGTAAATCATGTAACAATGACTAGTTTGTGAGAGTAAATACTAAGAGTTAATTCGTCTACTCGTAAAAGAGGGTCTGAATTGGGGTATACCGTAAAATTCCGAAAATAAGCCCCGGGGCTTGTATTTTTCAAAGGCCCTTTTTGAGGGGCTTATTTTTGGAGGGGCTTATATACGGAGGGGCTTAACTACGGAGGGATATTTGCGTTTCAAAATCGATTGGGCTAGCATTATAGTTGGAAGTAAATGTACCGTTTTGGTTTTGTTTTACTTTGTATTTGAGGCCAATTTTTCAAGTACAAGCCTCCGGGGAGCTTATATTTGGAGGGACGATTTAACGGAGGGTTTTTTGCGTCACCGGTTAGGGGGGCTTATATTTGGAGGGGCTTATACATGGAGGGGCTTATTTTCGAAATTTTACGGTACCTCGATAACACTAAACACTTCATTTTTTGGTTTTGTAACACGAAACAGTTAAATTTTAGGTATTTTAACACTAACAGCAACAAATTCTTTGAAACAGTAAATTTTTTTCAGAAAAAAGCAAAAACGGCTCCAAAAAGACCAATATCATTTTTTTCAGTATATCAAGGAGTTTTTGGCCATTTTACGACAATTCCGGATTATTTCAGAAGATTTCCGAAGGCTACCGACGATTCCCGAAGAGTGTCAAAGATTTGCGAAGACTAACGAAGAGGTCCGACCATTGCCGAAAATGTCCGAAGAACCATCCAAACACTATTACGAAAAGTATTTTCTTCGGAAGCAGTAAACATTAAAACAATTGACCGATTTAACAGTAAACACTAAAAATTAAGGGCAAATAACACTAAACATTAAATCCCATTCAGACCCTCGTAAAATGCTTTACGATCGATGAAATTATGCAGTGAATCGTTATGAGAATCGGATATCTGTTTAATGAGGTCCGGCAGTAGGTCGGTTAAGGATATTGCAGCCCGCACAAGGGAGCTACCTATTTTTGTCTTGAAAGCGTCTAAGAACTCGATTTGTTGGGAAGTTTGGAAGTTTGTTTCGCTGTTTTGCCAGTTCCCAGTCCCCTCCGCGTAGCACCCAATCCAGGAAAGTAAAATGGCGGCCAAAATTTTTTATCTGAGAATTTTGTGAGCGCTAAGAAAGTGAAAATCTATATTTCTTTCTGAACACACTTTAAAAGGAAATGGCAATAAACTTGTTAAAGAATTTCTTAGCACTCTTGAATCTGCGACCTCTTGATTAGACGTTCGTGACTGTTGTGTATGGGGACCTATGAGGGACAGTTTAATATTTTCTGTAACGCAGCATGTAAGCTTAAGTCACTCATTTGCTTGTCATGTCAGTTGTAAAGTTAAGTATTTTGGAAAGGTAGCGAACGTTTAAGTGAGGATTCGAGGGGAAGACAATGTTCTTTCATGTGTTTCGCAGCACTTTCTTTTCATGAGCCCAACTGACCAGTTATTAGCTGTGGATTGTAGTGGATCACGAACACAATCGATGAGACAATTTCGCACGAGGAGACAATTAGTTGCAGAATCATTTTTAGCAGATAACTTTCCTGTTGTAGTTCACTACTTTTTCTAACGAGGTGAATGGAGCAACGAGGCCAACAAACTGAATTACTATTGAGGTCATAATTTGCCCCAGCAAAGAGGCAAAGGAAACAAACGATTTGCTTACCGAGGTAAGCAAACTGAATTGAGGTTTTCCTTTTCATTTAAAATACTTATTTGTATTGATGTCATGAAGAAAAAGAATGAATACAACAGAAACGAATATGTATAATTCAGTGACAATTCACTAAATCGAAGATGCTTTCTGGAAGTTTTTTTTTTTAAATATGGCTTTGTTTTTGTAAATGTCAATAACAATCCAAACTGATTTTGGAGTATGCATTTTATATACAACCTTTCATTACACAGCGGTTTTTTTTTACATAGGGATAATATATTAGTGAGATATATTAATGCTTGTTGTTTATATTGATTGAAATCTTTGGGGATTCATTGCTTGCATTATGCTCTGTGTTTGTTTTTTTTTGAAACTAATTCTGAGAATAAGCAGGTACCGAATTATAGTCACACATCAAGATAAAGCTGAAGTTAATAATAAGCTTAAAATACAACATGACTCAACTTCAAAATCGTCCATTTTGTATTTTATACATCACAGTCTCTATTTTGTCTCGTCACGTAATGCTCCTAGCACTTCACATCCACTATGGAACCCCTAGTCAATAGTTCTTAGATTAAGTCCTTAACCTACAGTGGATCAACCTACCATTAAACAAGTCCCCCTGGCCTGATGTGGATTCATCTTTGCCTGCGATAAAAGGGAGTTTATTTAAAATTACCACAATTTATTTGATTTATTCACTTTATCTGGTTCTCAAATATTTTTTTACAAAAGGCCGCTTTTAACTTTACTGAATTCATGTAAGATGGAGAAGTTTCCCTCTTTTAAAGATTCCCAGTTTAAAGGTTTTTCCCCATTTGAAAGATTCCTCGTTTTAAAGATTCCCCATTTGAAAGATTCACGCTTTTATATATTTCCCATTCCTTGATCCTCCCTTCCGACGGAATATCCGTGTCAAATATGAGGGACTGAAAAGTACACAGGGTAGTCAAACGTGATGGAATTTTACAGAACGTAAAAAAAGTCGGTTTCAGCTGAGTGGACGAGTGATCCCTGTCAGCTAGTCGGGCGGGTCAGTATTTTTGCTTTGCTTTTCTAGATCATATTACCAAAGAGGATCGTTATTAAATCAAAATACAGCTTTTCAGAATCACGATCGAGAGAGAGCTGCCTAGATTCACACTTTTAAATATTCCCCATTTCTTGATCCCCCGTTGCGACAGAATATTCGGCGTGAAATACGAAGGAGAAACGTACACAGGGTAGTCAAACGTGATGGAATTTTAGAGAACGTAAAAAATAGTCAGTTTAAGCTGAGTGGAAAGTGATCCCTGTCAGCTAGTCGGGCGGGTTATTTTTGCTTTGCTTTTCTGGACCAATTAACAAAAATGAGAGAACTTTCTTTAATTGAGGTGGCCGCTTGACAAAGGTTTTTAAATTTCACATTCTGGCTTACTACAAATTTTTCGGGACTTGGACTATCGGCCGCTCAATAGCTATAGAGGGTAGCTGATTGATAGAGGTTCAACTGTACATATTTTCAGTTAAAAATTTATCCTATTGAAAAGAGGTAAAAGATTCGAAAGTCACAATTCGATACAAGCAACATCTAAATACTCAGTATTAACTGTGGAATGCAGGAATGTAGATCTTCTTAATGGGTATTTGGTAGTATTCATTACTGGCAACATGCTTTGTAAAGGTAAATTTACGTTCTTTGACGAGTAGCTTGAATTCGTTTCGAATAGACGGTCTGAAAAAAAATGACGTTGAACATTATTTAGTGAATCAGGTGAAAGCAAATTAGCATCCTGGAAAGCCAATCATTGCATAATAATGGTCCGTTGTTTATTCTTATCGATGAATTTTGCAAAAGAGGTAACTAACAGGAAATGATCTTTAGATACTATCTTCCTCTCAAAGACATTCATCTAGCTCTAGATTAAAGACGTTTTCCTATCCTGTAGTCTGGAACTGCGTTGAGACGATTAAACTAATTTTTCTTCAGTCTTGGTTTCCCCTGCTTATATGGCCCTGCCTAAGCGTTGACTGCACAAAAAACGGCTGCGTAGAAGTCAATAGAAGACTACAGGTTTCCCAAAACAACGTCACAAATCACGGATTGAGAGAGGTAAATCATCAATATTAAGAACGTTATTGTTGTCTTACCAAGTCGCCTTAACAGCTCGTCTAATCGTTGAAGCAGTACCTCTTTCAACTGCTTAACTTCTTTCTTTAGGGAAGTGATTTCATTGGCAGCAGCATCCGAGGTACAAATCTGCTGTACTACGATTTTGCCGTCGGACAAGGTGACATTGTCCACTGAAACGTTCTTTGCTCCAGTCTGGGACCTGGTGGCAGCTGCATAAAGGCAGGCGCTGAGAAAAAGCACCAAGGTTGTCTTCATATCCACAGCAAATTCTTGTCTTAAAGCGTGTTCACTTTGGAGTAGAGACTTAGATCCTTGACTGCCTTAAAGTAATGAAGTCGATCTTCGAAACAACTTGTATCTATAAGGTTAAACCTTGTGACGTCATCTATTTTATTGTCAGGAGTTTGGTTTCGTGAGAAGAGGATGTTTTTCTAGGACAGGGAGCGCCGCGCCTGAAAGTCGGCGAAGGACAGTACAAACAAAACGACGTAAAATAAAGGAATCACTAGAAACACGTGTATCGCACAACCTCGTGACGCTACGGACGGGTATTTTAAATGATAGAGTGGAGTCCATTGGTAAATTAAAATCAGTATTAATTTTGGAGATGTCCAAGGTACGTTATTGGCGGTTAGAATTTTGACACTTGTCTAGGCACAGGTGGCCCAAACTCGAATTACGGCATTGTTGTATAACCTTCGAATTCTAAGGATTTGTATGGGGAAAATTCGATTGTTTCTGTACGCTACGAATTAGAAAGGATTTAGATAAAATCGGCTAACCTCAATAAACCTCACTTGGGTTTCTTCTCTCCTGTATGGTTTCCCGTGCTACAGCAAATTACTTCAGTGAATCAAATTCCATTTAGGATCCTTATACAAGCACACACACTGAGTTACTGGAGTTATTTTTCCCTACTGTTATCCGTTTTGCAAACGAAAACCTGGAACCATAAACTTGGTGATCATGGAAATTTTAATAATGTAAGCATGAATAAAATTTCAAATTCACGTCTCAAGCTAATTTTTCTCCTCAAGGCCTTTGGAAGGAGACAAACAGAGACTATTCGAGGACAAAGAGGCTTGAAGCTGGGAGTTGGAAGTTGTAATTAGTTGGAAGTTATAAGCGGAGGGCGGAATACGGAAGTTGGAAGCCCCTCCACGGCTTTCGGTTTGGCCAACGACAAGGCAGAGCAGCATGTAATTTATAATGACCCCACTTTTCAAACATGCAAATATCAAATGGGAAAAACCCCCACCTATAATGTAATCCTATCCTTTTTTCCTAGTGAAGATAAACAATATTTTACATTCCGGAGCGACCCCGCATTCAAGTACACCTGGCCATGACGTTGATATCTATTTGTGACAGCCAAAAATCTCTTCAGGTTGATATTAGAATTGCCTGCGTGCAGACGTCTCCTATTTCCTTTGTTGCAACAAAGGAAATAGGAGACGTCTGCACGCAGGCAAATATTAGAATGACAAAGTCCTTCAACTCACCATTACCCTCTCCATTTTCGGCACATACAGGTTCTCAATAGCATTACATTTTCTCACTTTCAGATCACTTTCCAGCCAGCTGGAATTTGTATATCCCCCGTGATCTTGGGGAGGCGAAGAGCAAATGCTCATCTTCTCGTCAAGTTTAAAAACCCCTGGACTATCCAGTCCCCAAGTTAACCATCGTACTAATCTGATAGGCTCCTGCGTGTCTTAAATTAATTAGGTGGTTGTTTATATACCATTTACCAAAATGTTCCGGAAAATGAGGTTGGAAAGTAAATTGATCACGACTTTTTGGGTCGTTCCATCGAAAAATTTCCGGAGCAACGGAACATCTCGGGTGCTTACCATTTGACAGAAAATTTCGAGACCCTTGATTTTTGTGTAATAATACACGCCTAAACGCGTACATCGAATATAAAAAAGTAAATTCGATCGTCGATAAAGGCTAATGGTGCAAGACTAAAAGTGAGACATGCAAAACTAAGTGAGGAAATCCTATTTCGTGTAAAAAGCCACGTTTTCGTGAAAGCGTTTGAAAGCAAGTGAATATTGAGACGAGTTTCTCTGAATTGATGTAGCAATTCTTGAAACTCTACGGTAAAATAAATTTGTTGATTTACAGCAGATTAACTTGGTTCAGTATGTATTTAATTGCCAACGAGGCAACCGAGCTAAGAAGCGAGGTTGCCTCGGCGGCAGATTCATAATCCCGCGCAGTGTAGGCAAAAACTCTCAAATTCTGCGTAACCCTCTAAACTTTGAATTATTGACCACATTTGGGTTTAAGTAAGACCCCATATTTGGGCAGTGATGTCATGATCTTGTATTTACAACTCGTGATTCGAAATTGGGCGATGCCGTGTGCAGCTGTTTGTTCAGTTTTCTGATCAAGAGGCCCTAACAGGTGAGCAAGCTTTAATGCGATTTCTAGTTTGAAAGGGCTATTAGTTCTCGGGTGGGCTTTATAAACTGCGTTTAAAGCAGTAGCTGATCAAGAAATAGGGTTTTACGTTCCAATTATTGTCAGAACCAGCTTGTTCTTCGCAGCTCGATTTACATTAAGTAGCGTGTTCGCTTTTCAACTCAGAACCAAGGTTTTCGGTGTTATCTTTTCCTCTGTAAATAGAACGTTATGCGTTGGCTAATGACGGAAGAGGGTTGTATTCTCAAAACGTTGAAATATTGTTCTTCGCGGTTCGATTTACATTGAGCCGGTCCTCACCTCCCGTGAACGCATTTAAGGTGGCTCGGTGCAGTTTTTCAGGGTCAATACCTCCCAAGTTTGAGCATATATAAACTACGTCGCCATAAACAAAGATTTGGAAAAATTGCCACCACAGTCGGTATCAGATAAAGATGAAAATTTGTTATGATCAAGGTTGCAATGACATCGGAGTTGTCATAACAACGAAATGAGGTTATTACCGATTTTACTTGCAGCAGTATTTCTCGGCACTGGGAACTGCTCTTCCAGAATCGTTTACGGGAGCTATTTCCTCCAAGAGCCGCCTCGATGTTCGTGCAGTTTAAGCGAAATCTGTACGAGCGTTATCGAGATATTTTGCAAATGTGTAAAAGACAATTTGCCCTGCCAAGAGAGGATAAAATCTCTTGGTCCCACACATTGTTGCGCAAATGTGGTGGATGTCAGTACCATGGATGATTGAGACAACAATGTGTCGTGTAAGCCCCCACGCGTTTGATCATTGAAAGTTAATACATTATATGACGTCAATTTTCAGATGCTTTCCTGATAATGAAGGCTGAGAAAGTAGTGTTAGGAAGTCGTAATTTACGTGTATAGTTTTAACCTAGCTTGAAACAGCCGCCCAAACTCTCCAAGACACTTTCAATGATATTTTGATGCCATTTTTAATTACCTTTGGTTTAAGTTCAATAAGTTTAAATCTGAAAAATATCAGTTTGGCATTGTACCCAGTCATTTAATCCATGTTGTCGAATAAACAATATTGCCAGCGGCCATTATGAAAACTGTCCCCCCCCCCCCCTGACACAGGTCATATCTTAGTTGCCTATAATCATTAAAATGTTTCCCATGGTTTCTAGTATTAGTGTGCTAAGTCTCATGCTTTTATCATAAAATGCGCAATACTTTCACTCATCCGCTGGTCTATATCCTTGTTATTATTAAAGATTTATCCATGTCAAGCGAAACTTGTCAAGATTTCCCATATACACCAGCAAGTTAAACTTGTTCCTTGTCAACGAAAAATGGCAATTGATCGTGGAAACATGACCTGTAAACGGCGCGAAGATTTTGAATTTATCAAATGCTAAAATATCTATTGAGGCATATTGTTGATTCTTGTTGAAAATTTTTTGAAGTTATGCTGTGTAGCAGCATTATTGTCAAAGCTGTAGTTGTTTTGCTCATTTGATTGGCATACTTTTTACGATGTGAATTCTAAGGCATTATGACATTGCTTTGTAAGCTTTACGTTTGAAAACTATTGTTTTTCTGCTGCCCGTGTCATCATGGTATGCTCTGGCTGTGGCTAATGACAAATAAATGAGGTGTCTATTCCTGACACGTGTCTGCTTGATGTTTCTCACTGAGAAAGGGATTTGTTCTCTCGTTCTCTGGTCCAGCACGTACGCATGCCTAGCAGAAGGCCGCAGGTTCATTCCCTTGCCGTGCCAACACTAAAGGTCTCAGTTAAATGACCTGAGGAGAAATTGCTGCCTTTGTAGTGATATCTGCAAAAGGTTAGAGTTTCTAGTCTTCTCGGATAAGGATGATAAACAGTAGGCCCCGTCTCACAGCCCTGTGCACATCAGAAAAATCTGTGGTAGGCTTAAGAACCCACACAATTTGAGGGACTGTGGCCTGTCTTTTAGATGTGTGTCGATGTGTGTGCATTGCTGTAGCAGGTCCGCATCAGCTTTCAAACCCTTTAAATAGCGTGCTTGATCAAATATTAATAATAATATGATGATGATGATGATGATGTCGGTGATGATGACGATGACGATGATGATGATAATAATGATTATACCTTCATACAGATGGGACCCCAACAGTGGCATAGAGCACAGTTAGTCAGTCAGTCACTCAATCATCTGATCCATCCGTCAATCGTACAATCAACTTTTACTTTATGCGTTAACCTTGTTTACTACAAAACAAATTAAATTTCTTAGGCATTAACAAAAACTGGACTCCAATTAAGAAGCAGAGCTTGTAAACATGACAATAACTACAGGAGTAACACCCGAATAGTATTAAAACAAGAAAAAAAGATCAGATTAGCTTAAAAGCTACAAATGTGTCTACGAACCTATCTTTTTAAGTAAATCCTGTATCAGGTTAGGCCCAGTTCAAACGTCGATCTTTTCACATACCGGACCTAACCCCTTCAATTAAGTACATGAAAAGGTCGACGTTTAAATCAATTAAGTTCGACATATCTAATTTGGGTCGACCCGTGAATTAAGATCCCACATGGGAATTTCGACTGAGGAGCGACTTCGTTTCAAACGTCGAACTTCTAATGTGCCGAACCTAATGTATAAATTACTAGAATTCGTTTTAACTTGTAAGCATTTTAGACCAATGAACATCGTGAAAATGGTCCGACTAATTAAGTTCGACGTCTCAATCAACCGTCGAACTTGTACTGTTTGGCTCAAGCTAAATAGGTATAAAGTTCGGAACATGAAATGATCGACGTTTGAACTGGGCCTTACAGAGAGAGTTACATGGACATGGCGACCAACATATCGGTCGAAAGGGGGTCACTTTCACATATCAATCATCGATCATGGCCGACACCGAGTCCACATCGATTGGCATCGATACTAAATCTCTGCAGAGTACACAGATTCAGGGTATATACTTATGAAGGAGAAAGTTTTGGTTTTTTAATTGGACAATGGATAGTCACGTGACTAGTAACTATCGAAATGTTTAAATCATTAATGCATTATTTCTTGAATCAAGTTTTGTTGCTCAGGACTACATATCATGGTCGGCACCGATTCAGCGTCAATTATACTCCACGAATACGTCACTGATACGTCATTGATTTTAATGCAATGTGTAACTTATATATCACCGATATCGCATACCGAGCGGAACTCTGAGTTTCCCATTAAGCCATGAAGGTTTATTCTATGTACACTAATTTTCCCCAGTCGATTCAGACTACCGATACGGTGGGGTCTCTAATGCACATGTCATGGACTTGCCGCAGAGGGGGGGGGGGGGGAGGACCCCGGGCCAATCAGGGGAATTGTAGAATAGGTGCAACAAAGTCGAGAATTTCCTCCTGGAGATGAGATGGGGGGTTTAACAAGACAAAGACCCTTGGGTCAAGTGGGTAAGTGCGAAAATCCCCTTGATATCTACAGTCAAACCTCCACTAACGTTCACCTCTCTCGTTTGACGGCCACTTTGTGCCGGGGGACAGTCCAAACAATGACTCTTGTTTTAACTTCTCTACAACGGCAACGGCCACAAAAAAGCATTCGCAACAACCAAAATCACATCTCCACAAGGCCAGATTTTTCAGCGACTGACGAAAAACTCAAGAATGCGGGGAAATTTGATCCATATGGCTCCTTGGTGATTAACCCTTTGGCCAGCGAATACCGAAAAAATGCATTTTTCACCAATTCCCTCTTTATTGGACTGATTTGCGGCTAAAGCATAAGAATGGCTAAAAATGAGTTTGGCAACGAAAAAGGGTATTTTCCCTCTAATCGGAGGTAATTAAGCAGCTTTTTTGTTTTTCGCGCATCTATTTCGATCTTTCTCTCTTGCTCTCATTTTTCTGTTGCCTTTCACCGGCTTTATAAGCAGTCTTTTTGCCCACTTTATCGTCTTTCGTTTGCATGGAATTGTACTAGTTGGAGTAGCAGAGTAGAGTAGAGTAGAGTATTAGATAAAGAGTAAAATTGGTAGTGGATTTTTCCCCAAAATGTAACGTTTTTGTGATTGTAACTCTGTTATGATTGGTCAGAATACGAGCTGAGGCATTGTTGAAAAGATCTATCTTTGCTGCAGTTGTTGCTTATCGACTAATTATCTTAAACTGAAAGCTAAACGGGTACAGGCAGGAAAAAAGGCAGCATCGTTCCATATGGAACGAAAACAGCCAACGCGTTTGCAAAGGGTTAATCGTGGAACGTTTTTCAATTCATTTAAGACTGGATGAAATTACAGCACTTTCTTTGGCAAGAACCTTTCTGTTAGTACACAACTAGAAAATGTACCTCAGGCTGAGAGTCGGTTCAGTTTCAGTTTCAGGCGCTGAATGTCCGTCGTTGGACGTAGGCCTGCCCCATTGACTTCCACTAGAGCACGTTTTGCGAGACACGGTACCAGTGTTTTAGGAAACTCTCTAAATCGTCTCTCCATCTCGTTTAGGTTCATGCTGAGCCGACTTCAAGGCTAGCTTGGTTGAGTTCGTGTAGCATTTCTTGGAGTTCTTCCATACTGTTGGCAAACGAATAATAATGCCATCGGCGAACCGTAGGTGACTAAGATATTCACTATCGATTTTGATTCCCCTCTTTTCCCATCGCAGTTTGCGAAATACCTTTTCCAAGAAGGCAATGAATAGTTTGCGAGAACTGGTGTCACCTTGTCGTACTCCCCTTCGCAGTCTGAATCGTTTAGAGTCTTGTGGAATCTGATGTAGGGTTTGGCGTACTTTTAGATGTGTTGTAGAACGTTGACGTAGACTGGCTCGACCCCTTGCTCCTTAAGCGCATCTATGACCTCGGGGATCACGACCGAGTCGAAGGCCTTATTGTAGCCAACCGGGCCCACGACAAGAGGAAAAGCCCTTACGGAACCCAGCTTGTTCTCTTCGTTGATTCCTGTCTAGCGTGCTGATCAGGTATTCGTTAAATAAGGCCGCTAACTTTGTGTAGATGGTCTCACCCGTCGCTTCGATCAAATCGATTGTGATGTTGTCAGGTTCAGGAGCTTTTTTTTTTTTTTGATTGCTTGATCGCAAGCTCGACTGCCAAAAGTCTGCCAACCCATGTTTCACCTCCGGGTCGGAAGGTTCAGGATCTGGGGTACGATGAGTTGAGTTTTTCATAGAATTTTTGTGCTCGGTTATAAATACGGCCCCTGTCTATTGTCAACGAGCCGTCCTCCTCTCAAACTTCTGTAAATTGAACCTTTCGGCTGCTGGGTTTTTTCCCTTGCCATTTTGAAGCCTTTTCCTAGCTTGATTACTTCTTGAATTAATTCCGTTCTGTGCTTTCTGAAATCTTGACGTTGTTTCGTTTTTATGGTTTTGTTCAGTTCTGCTGCTTCAACCTTTTCTCAAGCTGACGTTGGTGTTTGCAGATTCTTTCGTTTCTCCGTCAGATCGAGGGTTTCTCTGGAGCGCTTCTTGGCTATTTTGCGAGGAGTTGCGAACTCTTTGGCTGTCGCTACAAGAGGTTTGACGACGTTTTTGGGATTGTTGACGGTGGTTTCATTGATATTTCCGTCCTCCTCTTCAAGAGCGGCATTTCTGTTTTGGAGTTTGATTCTAAATTCTTCGACATAAAATGGTGATTCTCGTAAGGGCTCTGGCGTGTGGTGGAACAAATGACGCCTTTCTCTTTTGGTGTCGATTTTAACTCTGCATCTTACCATCCTGTGATCACTGCCGATGTTTAATTCGTTCATGACCTCGACGTTTTTAACGATCTGGTGTTTATCTGCCATGATGTAGACGATTTCGTTAAGCGTTTCGTAGTTTGGTCTCCTTAGGTTCTTCTTTTCGAAAAGTGTTCATGATCTTAAAGCCGTGGGCAATGACGAAGTTGACAAGATCCTCGGCTCGGTCATTTCTATCACCATAACCGAGGGCGCCTAGACATTCTTCATCTTCGCCTTCAACCTTTGCGTTTTGTTGTTTTGCATGGCTGTATAGAGGTCGTTCAGAACGGTTCTATTTTGCTCATTTTTTTAGACTACGAAGAGAAGTCGCTGATTTAAGGCAATTTTTACCCTGCGTATTTGCAAGCGCGCGACAGAAAGTCACCTTCCTTCCTTGTCTACTTAACAATTATTCCTCGAGCCCGAAGGCCGAATGGGCTATTGACTCAGAGGCCATGGGGGCGAGAGGAATAATTGTTTAAGTAAAATCCAACTAGTTGGTCAAAAATTTCGAGACAAAACAACCTTGGCTAGCAAAACGCGATTCAGCAGCCATTGTTTTGGTTTTCAAAGACGGCGCTTTTCGCTACTAGTGGGCTATAGCATATAGCCTAGTAGTACCTCTGCTAATCAGAACGCAGCATCGATAATAGACCACTAGTTGGATTTTACTAAAATACTTTAACATAGCGAAGGTTGCGAACCTTGTTCGATTTGTCTTTTGCCAACATTTTGATTCTTATTGTTTATTTTACTCCCCGAAAAGAAAAAAACTATATATTACTGTACACTCCTTCCTCCCTATAACGTACGGTCACCTCTCTACAATGACCACTTCCATCTGTCCCCAAGGTGGCCGTTGTGAGAGGTTCAACTGTATTTCACCCTAACTGGGGTTAAGGAGATACTCTTTTTGAAAATGGTTCCTGTTGTAATTTATGGATCGGGGAAAGCCTTAAATCCCTGTGACACCCCAGTCATATTGCCGTTGGCGATTAAATTTGAAAACTCCCACCCCTTTCCCGGGTACTCAATGTCGTAAATTTTTCCTGGCAGGAGTAGTAAATCCTATCCATTCCCTTGTATTCTCCGGCAAGGCTCGTATTTCCTACCCCTGGGGCAAGCTAATGACATAAGCATAAGCTTAAAAAGTTAAATATAAGCGTACAGTGGGTGATTAAGAACAAGATGTTCCTTTATCTGATTCACATTTTCAATGGATGAAAAGCGTAGCTCGCGACTAAACACCATGAGGTCACTGTAGTACGCATGTGTAGTTGTCCCGTCATCTCTCTTTAAGCCAATGTCGTACACGGAATGGCCTGAATTCTTGATGTCTATTGAGTTGCTTGTCACGTTCTTACTCGTATTCATCTCTCCGTTTATGAAAAGCCTTAGAGTACCTTCTGTTCGTCCCCAAGTCATTGCCACGTGACTCCACTTGTTAACTCGGACAGTATCTCTGCAAAAAATAGAGAGGGGATTGATATGTCATGGGTGGCATTTACTTTTTTAGCCTTTTCCTCTCGATTAATTTGACAAGAGTGAGTTTGTTACATTTGAATTAATTCAAAATGGCGAATCCAAGATGGCGAACTTTTCCACAAAACATCACCTTCCGAGAAACTACACTCTAGGTATCTAACTGATGCTGCTGTTGACGTTGACAGTTTAAATCCATACTTGTTTTTAATATTCATTAAGTAAAGGAAACCAATAAATTAAAACTCATTAACGTTTTGTCGACGTCAAATTACTTCAGATCAAAAGTTACACTTGTTTACCTATTCAACAATTTTTATATGAGGCTGAGGCTGAGAGTGTAATGAAAATTTATGCCAGTTGAAGAGGCCTCATGACTCTCTTCTCATGATACGAGAACGGAATTCATAATACACTCTAAGCCTGGTTTTCATATGTCGAGAAAACCCCAGACGATCGGGGATTTTACTGTTTCCAGACCGTCCCAGATTTTGCCGACTAATGAAAACTCGAAATCTTAGATATTCCCGATCGTCAGGGATGGACGGGGACAAATCTGGAGAATCGGGAGCGTTCTATTTTCCCGATGCGTCACAGATTTCTGCGATGGTCGTCGATCATTCCTGACAAATGAAAACTCAAATTTGTACCGTCGGGAATGTCTGCGATGGTTTTCGCTCATTACCAATCCCCTAAATTGCTGGGCTCCAGTCCCCCTATCACAAATAAACATGGCTTCTCTCTAGAATCTTGGACAGACTTCTGGCGATTATCCGATGTATCTGGGATGGTCGGCAAAAATTAACATACCCGATCGTCTGGTATTTTCCTGACATATGAAAACCAGGCTTTAGTGGCAAGGGCAGATTTAGCGGTGGCCTCCCCCACCCCTTTCCCCTCACTTTTTCTCTCAAATTTAAAAAATTCTCGGAAAAATGAATAGTATCAAAAAGCTGGCAAGTTATCCCCCCCGCCCTTTTCTGAAGGTTCTGGTTCCGCCCTAGCTGATTAGGTTACTTGCTTACATGAACAGTTCACGAACTCCAACAACTATGGAATCAAGTTCACTTGCGCACTAAAAAATACTGTCATGAAAGCAGTCATATCAAAGTCAGCGAAATAGGAGTTTACATCAACTTGTTTTCATCCCGGAAAGCGTTTTCCCTGTGTTCGATTACTCATTGCGTATCGTGGAATACTCCTCGATCCTATTGATCATTGATTATTTATTTATTTACCATTTAGGTCTTTCACTCAATATTGAGCATTTTAGACAGCTCTAGAAAAAACAAACAAACAAAGGAAAACAAAAGTGACAGAAATAGCGCTTATGAGTGCAAAGTAATAAAAGTGTCAATAAATGTTTGAAATTGCACTTTTAAAAGCAGCCAGTGAATTGGACAATGCTATACTGCCCCTTGGGAGTTTGTTCCATTCTGTAATTGTCCTTGGGTAAAAGGAATACTTGTTGTTATCCCTAATGGCAGTCGGCTGTGTCTAAGAGTACTCTATGGAACGAGTTGTAGATTGGCATCTTTGTGAGAGACAAGTCTGTGATTAATAAAGGCTGGAGATATATTGTGAATATGAACATTCGATGCCACTCGTCGCAATAATCAGATGGATGAGACCACTATACCGACATACAAAAAGTAATAAAGACAAGTGAAAATATCTACCTTGTACACAACACCAGAAAATCTATATCATATTCATTTCTCGCCTGGACACAAATGTGACTGCTCGGTTCAATATACAATCGAAATGACCAAGGAGAAGACCAGTCGCCATAAACTGGATATTGTGCACCCGAGCTGTTCATTTTGATCCATACGGCGATTGTCAGGTTTGTGCGATGGATGGGAAAAGACGGAGTCTCCGCGAACGTCCCACTACTTCCGTCTAAATACAGAGCTGTTCTTCCATCTTGCTCCTCGTATCTTGCAGATCCCTTTAAGCTGCAAAAGGGCATAAAGACAGTTCACGTTGTCTCACGCGGCTAATTCTCGCGTCACGTAGAGCTCTGCAGGGTAGAGTTCGTACAGTACTTTACGGAACATAACCCATTTAAGTTACTATCCCGACGCGAATACCCTACAAGAGTATACATGCCTTAGCCTGCGCATGCGCAACTTTGCAACAGACCCATCGGATAAAAACGAAGGTTCCAAATGAGTTCTTAGTATCGAAGAACACCTTTTGGTAACAGGCAAAATACCTACTTGTCACTGGTGAGATATTTCTGGTTCAAAAAATCAAGGTGGGTATTCCACACTCACTAGTAAAAGTGATAAAGGGAATAGCAATATAAACGTTTTTAAAACTACATCAGGAAGGTATCAAACTCGTTCCTCGAGTCCTCGTTATTCTTGACCATGCACTTCGCTATTTTTACACATTTATTTGCTGTTAGGGCACGAATACTACGTGAAACTTTCTAGTTTCACGTTTTGTGAAGGACGTGAACACAAGAAAATGATTTGAATCTAAACTAAGTACAGTCCTTTAGATTACAACTCCAGAAAAATTGGCGAAAATTTGAGAAAATGAAAGAGATGGAATAAGACCAACGAAGTTTGAAACAGCGAGAATTCACATTTTAAATGACGTTTTCTCCACCGTTGCCGACAGTGGTTGTTTAAGTTCCCGAATGAAGGAATCAGGAGGGCATGGAGAACGCTTTATATATTTGTGGACCCAACACTAGTATTGGCGAATTTAACGTGTCAGGCTATCGTGACGTCACGTACATGCCGGTACGGAGTTCACAGTCCAATTTCTTGCAGCAACAGAGATAAACAGTAGAAGAACTAAAGGGGAACGAGTGCTCTGGGAGTGAGATTGTGGAGACCTTTTATTTTGTTTGACAACACATAAGGAAAAACTACGAATTTTGCTCATTAATTCACATGTTTTCTTACTTGACTTGACTGTCCGTACCATTGAGCCGCCAATGAGAAAGGAGACCTGAAAGGAATTATTTCGCAGTCTTAGTAACAGAGGGTAGGCCTTAAACTGCCCATGTGTAAAACGCGAGTATAAAATAAATGACAAAAGAAAACAAAGGAACGAAAGATTTAAAAAAGGTGGTGGCGGGCGGTGGTGGAGGGAAAACAATAGAAATGTGATGTTGGTGGAGGAAAATGATACAAATGTGATGGTGGTTGTGGCATTTGAGGGAAAACAATAGAAACGATAGGTAGATAGCTGCGGGATGGAAAATGCAGGAATTTAAAATGGTTGCGCTTAAAGACGCCTGGAGAAGGCGATATGCGCGTCTCTAATGGAAGACTGTTCCACTCTTTAATTGATGGAAAGAGAAAAGATTTTTTGTGCCTTTCAGTTCGAACGAAGGGTAAGCAGAGATTATTGTCAGAACGGAGACAATAAGTAGATCTTTCAGAAATGAAATTAGGAAAAAAATCTCATAAATAAGGCAGGGCTAACTTAAATACCATTTTGTACATCAAAGTAAGTTTATAAAGTTTTCTTCTAACACTAAGTTCGACCCAAGAAAGTTTATTTAATAGCGACACCATGTTTGTACCTTTTACAGCACCGGTTACAACCCTTGCGCCCTCTATTTGTAAGCTTTCTAACAAATTACTATCAGATTCAGAACATCCATCACAAACTACATCAGCATATTCTAAGGATGAACGCACCAAGGATTTGAATAAAACCTCAAGTATATAACGGCTCAAATTGTATTTCAATGGCTTTAGGATGTTCAATTGAATTGTTTTACAATGTAATATATGCGCTCGCCAAGATAAGTTAGAAGACAAGGTCAAACCAAGATGTTCATGAACTGTCACATCCTCTATAATACTGTCGTTCAAAATCAAAGGGGGTTGCAAAGGCTTATCTCTTTTTGCCCAAAAAACAATCGATTTAGTCTTAGATTCATTCATAGTCACCAACCACTGGTTAAACAAGTCTGATATTGATGTCAAGTCATGATTAAGTTTAGAAGCCCAGTGTCTAGCACAGGAAAAAAGAACGGATTCCCATTTTTGGATATTTTAGGGTATTTAAAGAATACCCATAAAAATCCCAAATTTGGCAAAGTGAGACAAGTTCCATCCAGGGAATTCCCAACCAAGTTCCCTGATTGGGACTTGTCTCACTCTTCCAAATTTGGGATTTTTGTGGGTATTCTTTAAATACCCTAAAATATCCAAAAATGGAAGTCCGTTATTTTTTCCTGTGTAGGAGACTGAACGTTTTCCAGCAAAAAACAATCATGAGCAAATAAAAAACAGCGAGAAGAGATTGTGACTGGTAGGTCATTAATGTAAATAAGAAACAATAGTGGACCTAAGACCGATCCCTGGGGGACACCGGCCTCTATATAACGCCAATCAGAATGTAGTTCTTTGATTATCGCTATTTGTTTACGACAAGAAAGGTAACTTATAAGTCAGTTAAACAAATTCCCCTCAACTCCAATGCTTCTTAACTTGGCTATCAGACAGCAATGCAACACTCTATCAAACGCTTTGGATTTATCAAGGAAAACTGCTCTCACTTTACTGCCTTCCTCACGGGCTTCATAATCTCGTGAACAATATATACAAGTTACATTGCAGTGGAATCCCCTGGACGAAAACCACTTTGAAACTTATAAAAAGAAACCAGTCATATTAAGAAAATTAAAAGATGAAAAAGGGCTACTTTCTCACAGATCTGAGATAAACATGGCAAAAATGGAACCGGGCGATAATTAGTCTTCAGTTGACGGTCATCTTTTTTTAAATAACGGCATAACATTTGCAAGTTTCCAAGCACTTGGATATTGACCAAGTCGAAATGAAGTGTTGATTAAACTTGTGAATGGTTTATATAGACCTTCCCTACATAGTCTTATTCTGTCTTATTACCCATGCCGTCGTAGCCATTACTGAGCTTTTGAAATGTTAACAGATGACATAAGGTTACGAACCATTTCTTCATCCACAGTGATAACAGACAAGGAGTCTGCTGACTACCGAGGAAGAAAAGGAATTTCAGCCGAGTCACCATTTGGCACAGTGGCTTGACTCACAAAATAATCATAGAAAAACCTATTAACTTTTTCTTTTGGATCAGGTATGAAAACATTTCCTTCGGAGATCGCCGGGATAGCCGACTAACACTTGTTACCAAACATAGATTTTACAATACGCCATCATTTTTTTGGAAGAAATTGCTGGATCACTAAGAGCTAGGTTAGTCTTTGTATTATAATTAATCTTCGCTTTCCTGACAAGACTAACTACTAAGTTCCTCTAAACACGATAACGATCCCAGGATGTAGTTGATTTACATTTAGAATAAGTTTTTAAAAGACGATCACGCATTCGAACGGCTTTACGGATCTGACCAGTCTTCCATGGTTTGTCGCAAGGTCAAATAATCGGCACTTTTTTATGTGATATTAAAGACTCAACTGTACTTAACAAAATAGAAAAAAATCTATGATAAATGACATCGATATCGAAAAGCGCAGCGTCAAAAACATCATTCCAATCCGCGTTAGATAAAGTGCCATTTAACCCATCAAGATCAATATCATTAAAATTCCAGATCTCTCTGGTAAAAGATGTGGGTTTTTCTTTGCGACAATTTAAATTTGCATAGATAATGCAGTGATCATTGTTGGTTGGCTGACTGAGAGTACCAGAAGAAACAAAAAAGCCACGCGAGTCTGATATGATAAGGTCAAGAATGGAATCCTCAGACCGAGTGATTCGCGTTGGATTATCGACAAGTTGATATATATTGTTACTTTACAAAAAGTTGAAAACTCTGATGCCAATATCGGTGTTTGACGATGAAGTATCACCATAATTAAAGAGAGCATTGAAATCGCCTAAAAGAACAGTAGCTGAGAAAATTTGGCCGCAACTTTTAATTTTATCAAAGTTCATTTGTGAGCACTCAAAAACGGCCTTTTCCTCATTTGAAAAACAAAATTATTAAAACTGTACTGAACCCAGAGTAGTTATAATCCAGCAGAGTATTCAAATTCAACACGTCTTTTAACTGCAATGTTATCTTTGGCATAAATTGCCACACCTCCTCCGAGCTTCCTGACCCTATCTTTCCTCAAGGGTAAACTATAACCAGGAATGAGAATAGAGTCATTAGATACGCTAGAATTCAACCACGTTTGAGAAAACGCAGAAACATTGAATTCATACAAACAAGCCAAAACATAAATTTCGCTCAGCTTATCATTATCATTTAGGCTTCCGACATTTAAATGAGCGATTGAAAAGTTGATACTGTTGGGTCCAGGATTAGGATAAACTGAACCTGGCGACAATAACAAAATACTAAGGCTCAACATCATATAGATATAAATATTAAATATTCGTTTAGTTGTAAAATTGCTTTGTCATAGATGAAATCAAGTAATGAATTTAAGCCTTTACTATATTGTTATGAGGACTTGGCCAGTGCATGACATGATCGATATTTCTTATTTTCAGTACCATGGAACCTAGCTCTACCTACCATCAGATATGTTCCACTGACTTGAAGAGGATTCATCTTTATCTGCGATATACGAAGAGACCTTATTTCAGTATAACGATTGATTTGATTTCTTTACTATATGTGGGTTTTATTTACTTGCTATTTCCTTAGTTTGTGGCACTGAAATACATAAGAGACTGAGAATTAGGAAGCACATTTAGTCCTGAAACCATCCACTTTGCTTTTCTTGTTAGTTTCGTATACATAGCCGGATCCAGCTAACATTATAGTTTAGCCTAGGCTATTTCGCTACTTTCGGCCGAGCATATACTGTATTTAAGTATACCCAAATAGGCACTCCAAAAAATGCAGATGAGTAAATGCTGTATACACGTACCTATTAATCGCAATTTACAAGTTATCAAGTTCTGGTAGCCACATATACAAGTAAATCGCTAAGATCGAACTGTAACGAGCGGTCATCTTAATTTCAATTGTAGCGAGAAGGTGAGCGTAGGCGTTTATAGCAAAGGAGAAAAGTGGATCCGATACTCTTGAAACCAAGATGTCTGCGCTCGATCTTTACCAAGATCTTGGGGGAAAATAGTAGACTGTAATCAGTCTAAACTATCAACTCCGTCATTGAGAATAGCACCGACAGACATTATCAAGGCTAAAGTGGTTTAAAACGGGGGCCATATAATAAATTTGCCGAGCCTTCTAAAATCCCAATCTTGAGCCCATCCAAAGAGGCTACAGACTTTCAATATTATTTCAAAGCCAATATGTCCCGAGTCATAGTGCAGAAAATCTGAGAGTAATGGTCACACCACGAAAGTCGGCGGTATTGCACTTCCTTCCGCATGCTCACAGCTATTTCTCTTTCGTATCCACGAAAAACTGTTTATTACATAAACGCCAATGAAATACCAGGTGAGCTTTCGCGCGAAAACTTGATATTTTCACTAGTGAAAATAACATGTTATCTTCACACGTGAAAATATCACCGTTGCTATGGCTACATAATAAATCGCGTCTTTCACACCAAAAAATATTAAAGTGAAATGGTTTGGTATTTCATTGGTGTTTATATAATAAATATAACATTACATGGCTGCTTGGAGATACGAAATTTTTCTTCCCGTGTTGAAAAAATATTTTTCAACACTTGAAGAGAAATTTCATATCTCCAAGCGGCCATTTAATATCCTCTTTTTCTTTCTGATCTGTTTAGTTTTCATAAACTAAGCGAATTAAATAGGCGTGCGTGAAAACAAACCTTCAATGAATTTAACAGTCATATAAATTCGAGTCAAGTCAGTTATGTAGTTCATAGGTCTCGTCTCCTTGGATCTGCTATTTAGTTCACAGATTTTTTCCTCCAGCTTGTAGTTGTAGCTCTGACATCCTGGTTCATTCTCACATCTTATGACGCAATCAGAAGGGCGGTTTACCTTCAATTTCTTAAATGTGTGACCTGTGAGCGCTTTACCATAATCTGAACCTCCGGAATTACATTGACCAGCGGCTTCTCCAAGTGGTATCCAGGATACAATGCGGAGCAATGAAATAGGAGCCAGTAGTTTCTGAAACATGCAAGGCTTCATGGCGTAAGGAGCTTTACATCAAATAACCTGAAACGAAACGAGGAAGGCATGGAATTTGATTACATAAACTTATTAAATTTGCAATCTGTAAAGACGAAAACTAAAGTTCCCTACTGGGTAGGCCTTCTGTTCACACAAAAGAACAGTTTTGGCTAAGCGATTTCTGTGACGGAGCGAAGCTGCGCCGCGCCGATCTCTGAAGTGGAGAGTCTCATATCGGATAGGTGTTCAGAACAGATTTCGAGGCGGCAGGAAAAGCTGTAGGGTATATAGCGTGAACATAGCCTTAATCTTCTCTTCCTTGCCATACTCAAGCTCTAAACTTATAGCTTATACATTACCACTTTATAAGTCTTTTACACATTCGAGGTGTTATAGTTAAAAATTAATAACTTACAGTAAAGATATATCATGTTTTGAGTTTTATATTTCATTATTTTATGTTAATTTTCGAGCATTTTAAGAAAAGAAACGTGTATATAAATGGGGAGCAGTGTGATAAGAAGCTTCTCAAACCAGTACCTAATTAAGTAATTGTAAATAATTAATGCAAGGGACACAAAAGTATTTTAAAAACGTCAGCTATTGCCAGTGAAACTCGAAAAAAGAGATCAGTTTTCAATAGAATTCTCATGATAAACCATGGTTTAAGTATAGCATTGCAGTATTCTGCTTGCAGAATTTAATATCTCTATAGAAGAGTGTATATTCATAACAGTTTTTAGAGAAGCTTCGCAGGCCAATACCTTTATCAATTTTAATTAGTTAAAGCATGTAATGCCGCAAAATAATGGTTTTTAAAAATGTCAGCTATACTGTCCACCCACAGACATATTTTTTAGTCATTTTTTTGTCTCCAAGCAATTTTGCATTTTAATAAGTTTTACGTACCGTCCTGTTAAATAAATCGTAAATTTTTAAAAAATCATCTCAGCATAAATATAATCAAGCGTTTAGTGCTTAAAATTGGTGTTAAAAGCCATCTAAAAATCAAGAGACTGATCGTAGGCTTTGCCCTGCCTTGCTAAGCTCAAACTCTTATAACCGTGTTGCGCATATCAACACTGAATTTTTGCTTCTTTTCAATTTTTCCATTTTAATTAGTTTTTAGTTTCCTGTTAGAAAAATCATAAATTTTTAAAGACCCTCTCACTGCTGCGTTTTTTCCATTTTTACACTAGACTGAAGTCCTTACAGAAAAAGTGGTTACTCATGCTAAAAGCCATCGAAACGCCATCGAGACTACGGGCTTGTTATTTAAGCGAACAGTGTTTATGGAACAGTGTGCCGTTAGATATTCGCAAGGTAGACTCGAGAATAACATGATTACCCTCGTTAAATAAACAGAATAAAGGCATTATCAATATTTTTGGCAAGTTGTCAATGCCGAGACTAGGAATGTGTTCAAATAACTTGAACTACTTGCAAAATAAGACATCACGTCTTTACCACATTCGACGCACGTATAGGAAATGTAAAATGTAAAAATTAAAGTGTTCTAGAAGTTTAAAATTTTCGAAAGAGCGAAATATATATTTCGAGGATTTAAAACTTGTAGAACATTTTTATTTTTACATTTCACTTTTCCTATACGTGCGTCGAATGTGGTAAAGTTGTGATGTCTTATTTTGCAAGTAGTCCAAATTATTAATTATCAGCGGAGTTAAGCCAGTGTTTAACAAAAACCGCGTTCTAAGCCATTTTCAGTTTGCCGAACGTTTTAATGTAAACACCATATATCGTGAGCAGTTTCATGAAAGCATATGGCGTAGATAAGACAAGCATTTCTCTTTTTAAAATAACCTCAGTATATATAAAGGAAGGGATCTGGAGATCCAAAGATTTCCTAAACCGCGGTCTAGAATTCGTTTTAATAACCAACCCTAAACGAAGTCTAACTTTTAGACCAACGAAATCTAACTTCGAAGTGTAACTTAGACCGAGGTTTAGGAAATCTTTCGACCTTCAGGCTCTTCCTTAGTGGGTAATTTTAAAAAGACAAATGCCCTTTTTCGGTCTACGCCATATGCTTCCATGAAACTGTTCAGAATGAATGGTGTTTACGTTATAGCGTTCGGCAAACTGAAAATGGTTAATAGGGCGGGGTTTTGTTAAACACTGGCTAAACTCCGTTTAAATAACTGGCCCTTAAAATGTTTGCGAATTATTAAAGGTAAAGACTTCCCTGCATTCCCATGGTCAAACTAATAGCCATATACAACCATGGAGTCTTTTTCACAGTAAATGTATATCATGTTTTGTCTTTTTTATTTGGGAAAAAATATTTTGATATTGTGTCCTAAGAGTTGACAAACTTTTTCTACTTATTACCCCCAATTATAAAAACTAATTTTTTAAAAAAATTATTCACATGGAAGTGTCAAGATGCATGGTGTAATTAATGTGTGTTTAGCAGACTAATGTGTGACGTAAGCAAAGCAGAATTCACTCATGCAGTGCATCTTACCTCTTCAAAATAATCTTCTTCTTCTTCTTCGTCTTGCTCTTGTTCTTCTTGTTCTTGTTCTTGTTCTTCTTCGTCTTCTTGGTCTTCGTTTTCTTTCGCAAATAAATTTATTACGTTGGAACTGAATATCTTAAGGGCTGAATACTTGCCAGGTTTGATCATAGTACGACTTACGTCGTGCTATGCTATCGAAATAGCGGTCACGTACTAAATAAAGATAAAAACTAGTTGACCAGTGTTGATGTTATACAGTGACTTCAAAGTTGTCATAACAACGTTGTAATAACCTCATAACTTTCTTTTTATTATGTGCCATTTTTGGCACATTTACTTAGAAGATTTCAAACATTTGACGAAGACAAACAGCAATTCAAACACTTAAGATGACTCGACCCAGTTTTTTTTTTTTTTGGGAGGGGGGGGGTACCATCCTACTTTGAAGCTCTCTCGTATCCCCACCTTTACTTTTATCGTAAGTCTAACACATAGAATGGATAACATATAGATCAATCTACAATATAACATAAAATTTTTGGCGATCGGAGTAAATGTCACGTGGTTATAATGCCACGCCCCTTTGAGGTCTGAGTCGAAAATCTGCTGTTGCAGGCATTTTTTCGTGAAAATCTCTCGGCTACACATAGCGCGCATTAGTGCCTTGCGCTGAACAGAGTTTCACCAAAATCGCAAAGACCCAATTCGAGAAATTCAGCGGTTTCCAAATTTCGGTCATAATTTATGCGAAAATGATAAGCAAACTTTACACGGATTATATCTAATAAACTATGAGATTGATCTCTTTATTTTGAGTATCCTTATAACAGATGGGTCCTTGCAAGTCAGCAAAACGCTTTAGGGCCTTGTAAATGCGCGCGATTTCGAGCAAAGCAAACATATAAAAATTATAGTTTTCGCCATTTGTTGACGTTTGTCAGCGTTTAAGAGTCCTTCTCACGAAAAAATCATTTTCTTAAAAATTCGTAGTTTTTTTCCTTCAAATTTTTTCAGGGCCACAATTGATTAACTAACTACACGGACTCTGAATTTCATGGTCATTGAAAAACTGTGACATTATCTTCTATAAGCCCAAACTTGAGTAAACATTGAAGATTTTTAGCGTTTTGGCTGAGTTTGTGCTTTGGGAGTTGTCTATTGTTTCTAGTCTGTCATTATACAGCATTCTTGTTCAGCACGCGTGCAATGACCACGCTTGGCTGACTTCCGAATGCTCACCGAGATATTCCCGTCACGAGTTGGTTTAATTATTGGCTTGCATTAAACCTATGAAAAAATGATATTTCTTTAATAGTAAGTAGATTTAGTGTGTAGCACTTCTTGATTTTTTTGCAAAGGCACAAGAAGCACGAGAATTGATTAAAAATTGTGAGTTAAACCTCTATGTATCACGCGATGGCCCGTCTCACTGTACCAAAATTATCAAATATATATCATGATAAATACAGTACTAAATAGCCATAGTAAACAAGATACTCTAAAAGGCAATTTTCCATTTCTCCTAAACGAAGTCTTTCTCGCGTTTCATTGAAATTAGGCCGAACCCACAGTTTGTTGAGAGGCGTCGCAGGCCAATAACTTCATAAATAATTAAGGCACGTAATGAAACAAAATGTGTGTTAAAAACGTGAGCTATTAATTGACGGTGAATCTCTGAAAGATTTCCTATGTTGGTTTAAAGGGTACTGTGAGCCCATGTGTAATAAAAGTTCTTAAAAACAACTGCAGGTTTAGCGTCTGCCCAGAGAGATATTTTATAGCCATGCAGGGACCAGGCTCCCCGATGTGGAAAAAGCACGGAATGAAACAGCAGATCCTGCTCCTAGGCTAGATATTTTAACCCATTTTTGGTCTCTTTTAATTAGATTTACGGTTTCAAACCGCCTCAGCATAAATATACTGAGCGTTTAGTCCTTAAAACTTTTATTGGGGGTTACTCATGCTAAAAAACATTGCAAATCCAGAGACTAATATAAAAGCTTTACAAAGTAGTGAAGACTAAGGCCTGTTTCAAACGTCGTGGTACTGCCGTACTAAGCTGGCTCGACTGTAGCTCGACTGCAGCACGACATTAGCACGACTTGGTTTCAGACGTCGAATTTAATTCAGTCGAATAGAACGGTTGTTGCCGAAAACGAAACACGTAAATAAAGAAAAGGTTTAGCAAACTTTTAAATGTATTCTAATGTATTCATAATTTATGAATTGAGTTCGGCACGGCGGTAGCACGACATTTGAAACCAAGTCGAGCTACTGCCATGTAGCACAGCAAGGCTTGCCGTGGTACACGGCAGTTGCACGACTTGGTTACGTTTCAAACGTCGCGCTTCTGCCGTGCTAAAGTCGAATTTAATTCGATCAATTGAGTTCGGCACGGCAGTAGCACGACGTTTGAAACGGGCCTAAATGGGGTTCAAACGATACTGGAAAGCTTTTGCGCTGCCACGAAAATCATATTGGATAGGACTTCTGTTCACACACAACGGTTGTCGCGGCGCGATTTCTTTGACGGAACGAAGCTGCGCCGCGCAGACCTCTAAAGTGGAGAATCACATATCGGATAGGTGTTCACGCTATAACTGAACGGATAGCTATACGGAATATAGTGTGAGCCTTAATCTTTTCTTCCTTGCCATACTCAAGCTCTAAAGGTATAGCTTATACATTACCACTTTACAAGTCTTTTACACATTCGAGGTGTTATAGTTAAAAATTAATAACAGTAAAGATTTACATGTATCATGTTTTGACTTTTTTATTTTATTATTTTATGTTAATTTTCGAGCGTTTTAAGTAAAGAAACGTGTATATAAATGGAGAGCAGTTTGATAAGAAGCTTCGCAAACCAATACCTAATTAAGTAATTGTAAATAATTAACGCATGGGACACAAAATTATTTTAAAAACGTCAGCTATTGTCAGTGAAACTCTAAAAAAGAGATTAGCTTTCAATAGAATTCTGTCTTGAAAAACCATGGTTTAAGTATAGAAGAGTGTATATTCATAACAGTTTTTAGAGAAGCTTCGCAGGCCAATACCTTTATAAATTGTAATTAGTTAAAGCATGTAATTCCTGTAAAATGGTTTTAAAAATGTCAGCTATACTGTCCACCTACAGACATATTTTTTAGTCATTTTTGTCTCCATTCAATTTTGCCATTTTAATAAGTTTTACGTGCCGTCCTGTTAAATGAATCATAAATTTGTAAACAACCATTTCAGCATAAATATAACTAAGCGTTTAGTCCTTGAAATCGGAATTAAAAGCAGTCTAAAAATCAAGAGACTGATCGTGGGCTTTTCCACCTTGCTAAGCTCAAACTCTTATAACCGTGTAGCGCATATTAACACTGAATTTTTGCTTCTTTTCAATTTTGCTATTTTAATAAGTTTTAAGCTCCCTGTTAGATAAATCATAAATTTTTGAAAACCCTCCAACTGCTGTGTTTTTTCCATGTTTACACCAGATTGAAGTCCTTATAGAAAAGTTGTTACTCATGCTAAAAGCCATCGAAACGCCAGAGACTACGGACTACAGTAAAAACCCACGAGTAAGAACCTAAGATTTAAGAACCTGTTAGGCTAAAATTTGCAATTTAGATCCCCTCTATATAAGAACCTCTTTAGCCTAAAATTTGGAGAAAGGTTCTTATTTTCAAAAATCATTTAAAAATATTTACTAATTGCAATTGCAAAAGGCAAGTTAGTACATACTTATATAAATGTTGTTTGATTGAGGTCATTGAGAAAATGTTTATAATATTGTGTTTTACAGCACAATCATGTATATTAAGTTGTTTTGACTCAAGAAATTAAAATTCATGTGAGAATAGATCTCTATTATGGTCATATTAAAATATAAGCAATCGTTACATATGCAAATTTAACGGTGCTGATCACTAAAATCCTCTTAGCAACGACATGATTTTTTGCAAGAAATTAAGAACCTGTTAAGAACCTAGATAGCCTAAATTTATGTTAACCACCATTAATGTAAGAACCTGTTTAGGCTAACCCTGGAAAATGTAGGTTCTTACTCGTGGGTTTTTACTGTATTGATTTAAAAGGAGTTTCGCCAGTTTTTAACAAAACCGCGTTCTAAGCCATTTTCAGTTTGCTGAACGTTTTAATGTGAACACCATATATCGTGAACAGTTTCATGAAAGCATATGGCGTAGACTACGTACTAGACAAGCATTTCTCTTTTTAAAACAACCTAATACGATAAAGGAATAGATCTGAATTTCCAAAGATTTCCTAAACCGCAGTCTAAATGAGACTTCGTTTTAATAACCGATCGTAAACGAAGTCTATCTTAGAGCGACGAAGTCTAACTTAGACCAAAGTTTCGGAAATCTTTGGACCTCAGTTCAGATTCCTCCCTTAGTGGGTCATTTTAAAAGCAGAAATCCTTTTTTAGTCTACGCCATATGCTTTCGTGAAACTGTTCACAATGAATGGTGTTTACATTAAAGCGTTCGGCAAACTGAAATTGGCTAATATAACGGGGTTTTGTTATACACTGGCTAAACTACGATTAAACAACTGTTCCTAAATTTTTTACAAATATAACGACTTCCCTGCATTGCCATCCTTAAATTAATAGCCTTATACAACCATTGAGTCTTTTTCACAGTAAAGATATATCGTGTTTTGTCTTTTATATATGGGAAAAAATATTTTGATATTGTGTCAAAAGAGTTAACAAACTTTTTCTACTTTTTCCCGCCCAATTATAAGAAATGATTGTTTTAAAAAATTATTCACACGAAGGTGTCAAGATAAATTGTGTGATTAACGTTGTGTTTAGCAGGCTAATGTGTGACGTACGCAATGCAGAATTTACTCATGCAGTGCATCTTACCTCTTCAAAATAATCTTCTTCTTCTTGCTCTTGTTCTTGTTGTTGTTCTTCTTCTTCCTCTTCCTCTTCCTCTTCCTCTTCTTCTTCTTCTTCTTCTTCTTCTTCCTCTTTGTCTTATTGGTCTTCGTCTTCTTTATCAAGTAAATTTGTTACGTTCGAACTGAACATTTAAGGGGCTGAATACTTTCCAGGTTTGATCATATTACGACTTGCGTCATAAGAACTAGTTGACCAGTGTTGCTCTTGTTTGAGTGACTTTGAAGTTGTCATAGCAGGGTTGTAATAACCTCATAACTTTCTTTTAATTGCTCTCATTTTTGGCACATTTAGTTAGAAGATTTCAAACATTTGGCGAAGGCAAAACAGCAATTCAAACACTTCCAAGGACTGAACTTTCTGCAGATCATAATTACAAATAGGGACCTTACGATCCAACATCGGCGACGTCCATGAAAACGTAATCGTCGCTGAAAAATAGATTTCGCGTCCTTTCAAACCTATTAGTATTATCCCATGTCGACCTGTTACTTAAAAGAAGAGATTTTAAGTTGGAGCGAAGAGAGGTGGTAGCGAGTTCAGACAGAGATGGTAGAATTTATCGCCTTGCCGTTCCTGTTCTCAAGTAAACTTACAATTTGGTCATTTCACGTCGTAGTTGTGCAGGAAGGGCAAAGAAATTTACAAAAAATAATGCACGTGCGGAGTTGTTATTTTGCTGATTAAACATATTCCTTTTTTTGAAGTTCCCGTTGCCGTCGCCGTTTCCGTCGTAGTTTCGTAAGGTCCCTAATTAAAGAGACCGCCCGGTTACAACGTTGCAACTTTAGGAAATCGAGTTCTTTGCGAATTATCAAAAACATGTCCTAGTACCGTAAAAGAACTAATAAACGCCCGGGGCGTCTATTTGATTTAGGGGTTGTAGCGGGGGCGTTTAATAGGTAGGACGCGTTTAAAAGAGAGATGAGTTTATTCTCATAACTGTAAAAAGCTCAACAAAAACAGAAGCCTATTACCCTAACAGAAATAATAGGCTTTCGGCGAAAATATCAAGAGAGTTAAAAAATAGCCACTCCATCAATTGATACGTCTAGGCCTCCAGTCTAGAGATCCATATCACATAAAAAATCCTTATTCAATAGTCATAAAAAAGACCTATATACAGTGCTTGAGTTAAAAAGAATTAAAACGAAATTTGTTCCTTGATGTTGTTTGAGTGACGTTCTCTGGTCCAGCAAGTACGCATGCCTAGCAGAAGGCCACAGGTTCACTCCCTGTCCATGGCACCACTAAAGGTCTCAATTAAATGACCTCAGTGAGGAGAAATAGCTGCCTATGTAGTGATATCTGCAAACGTTCAGAGTTTCTAGTCTTCTCGGATAAGGGTGATAAACAGTAGGCCCCGTCTCACAGCCCTGTGCGCATCAAAAAAATCTGTGGTAGGCTTAAGAACCCACACAATTTGAGGGACGTAGATCCCAGGGCTGTGGGCTGTCTTTCAGGTGTGCGTCGATGTGTGTGCATTGCTGTGGCAGATCTGCATCAGCTTTCAAACCCCGTTGTAAAACCTGCTTGATCAAATAATAATAATAATAATAATAATAATCCCGATAATTGCTTAAGACAGTTGTCGTTCCCTTGGGACCTTTCCAATCAGTTCCTTTCATAACTTATGGTCAGTTTTGGTTCCCTCGAGGGCCTCTAGAATTTGTATACTTTAATTGCTAATTTTATGCAAGGCGTCGATGTCAGTTGTTGTTGCGTCTCGCCGGTGCAGCATCCAGGCGTTCTGCCTTTGCCGTTTGTCTTTCTCCGCATTGCAACACAATCGGTAAGATTTGTTTTTCTATTAATTTCTGTTTAGCAAACCTCTAGTTGTCTCCGGGAGAAGCGTTTGCGAAGGGGCGATCTTGATCCTTGTACAACGAAATGTGCATCAATAAAAATCTGTTACGCGGCTATCCGTAACAATAATAATATTAATATGATGATGATGATGATGATGTCGATGATGATGATGATGACGATCATGATAATGATAATGATGACGATCCCTTCATACTGATGGCACCCCAACAGTGGCACAGTGCACAGCTAGTCAGTCAGTCAATCAATCAATCTGATCCATCCGTCAATCATGCAATCAACTTTTATTTCATGCGTTAACCTTGTTTACTACAAAAGAAATTAAATTTCTTAGGCATTAACAAAAATTGGACTCCAATTAAGAAGCAGAGCTTGTAAACATGACATGGACTACAGAAGTAACACCCGAATAGCATATTAAAACAAGAAAAAACCATCAAATTAGCTTAAAAGCTACTTACAGAAGGAAAAAAATGTGGCTATGAACCTATCCATTTAAGTAAATCTGACTCGTGTATCAGGTTAGGCCGAGATTAAACGTCGATCTTTACACATAACGAACCTAACCCCTTCAATTAAGTACATGAAAACGTCGACGTTTGAATCAATTAAGTTCGACATATCTAATTTGGGTCGACCCATGAACTGAGATCTCACTTGGGAATTTCGACTGTGGAGCGACTTCGTTTCAAACTTCGAACTTCTCAGTCATGTGCCGAACCTAATGCATAGATTACTAGAATTTGTTTTAACTTGTAAGCATTTTAGACCGATGAACATCGTGAAAATGGTTCCGCCTAATTAAGTTCGACGTCTTAATCAACCGTCGAACTTATGTTATTTGGGTCGACCTAAATAGTTATAAAGTTCGGTACATGAAATGATCGACGTTTGAACTGGGCCTTACAGAGAGAGTTACCTGGACATGCCGACCAACATGTCGGTCGAAAGGGGGTCAGTTTAACATATCAATCATCGATCATGGTCGGCACCGATTCCACATCGATTGGCATCGATACTAAATTTCTGCTGAGTACACAGTTTCAGGGTATATACTTATGCAGGAGAAAGTTTTGGTTTTTTAATTGGACAATGGAGAGTCACGTGACTAGTAACTACCGAAATGTTTAACTCATTAATCCATTATTTCTTGAATCAAGTATCGTTGCTCAGGACTACATATCATGGTCGGCACCGACTGCGCGTCTATTATACTCAACGAATACCTGACCGATACGTCATCGATGTTAATGCAATATGTAACTTATATATCACCGATATCGCATACCGAGCGAAACAATGAGCTTCCCATTAAATCTTGCAGCTTTATTCTATGTACACTAATTTTCCGTTAGTCGATATAGACTACCGATACGGTGGGGTCTCTAATGCATATGTCATCGACTTGTCGCAAGGGTGGGGGGTAACAAGAAAAAGACCCCTGGGTCAAGTGGGTAAGTGCGAAAATCCCCTTGATATCTACAGTCAAACCTCCACTAACGTTCACCTCTCTCGTTTGACGGCCACTTTGTGCCGGGGGACAGTCCAAACAATGACTCTTGTTTTAACTTCTCTACAACGGCAACGGCCACAAAAGTGCGTCCGCAACAACCAAAATCACATCTCCACAACGGCCAGTTTTTCAACGACTGACGAAAAACTCAAGAATGGTCACGAAATTTGATCCATATGGCTCCTTGGTGATTAACCCTTTGGTGAAGGCCAGCGAATAGCGAAAAAAACGCCTTTTTCACCAATTCCTCTTTATTGGACTGATTTGCCGCTAAAGCATAAGAATGGCTAAAAATGAGTTTTGCAACGAAAAAGGGTATTTTCCCTCTAACCGGAAGTAATTAAGCATCTTTTTTGTTTTTCGCGCATCTATTTCCATCTTTCTCTCTTGCTCTCATTTTTCTGTTGCCTTTCACCGGCTTTACAAGCAGTCTTTTTGCCCACTTTATCGTCTTTCGTTTGCATGGAATTGTACTAGTTGGAGTAGCAGAGTAGAGTAGAGTAGAGTATTAGGTAAAGAGTAAAATTGGCAGTGGATTTTTCCCCAAAATGTAACGTTTTTGTGATTGTAACTCTGTTATGATTGGTCAGAATATGAGCTGAGGCATTGTTGAAAAGATCTATCTTTGCTGCAGTTGTTGCTTATCGACTTATTATCTTAAACTGAAAGCTAAACGGGTACAGGCAGGAAAAAAGGCAGCATCGTTCCATATGGAACGAAAACAGCCAACGCGTTTGCAAAGGGTTAATCGTGGCAAGTTTTTCAATTCATTTAAGACTGGATGAAATTACAGCACTTTCTTTCGCAAGAACCTTTCTGTTAGTACACAACTAGAAAATGTACCTCAGGCTGAGAGTCGGTTCAGTTTCAGTTTCAGGCGTTGAATGTCCGTCGTTGGAAGTAGGCCTTCCCCATTGACCTCCACTGGAGCACGTTTTGCGAGACACCGGCGCTTTTCGTTACTAGTGGGCTATAGCATATAGCCTAGTAGTACCTCAACCAATCAGAACGCAGCATTGATAATAGACCACTAGCTGGATTTTACTAAACTACTTTAACCGTAGAGAAGGTTGCGAACCTTGTTCGATTTGTCTTTTGCCAACATTTTGATTCTTATTGTTTATTTTACTGACCGAAAAGAAAAAACTGTATATCACTGTACACTCCTTCCTCCCTATTACATACGGTCATCTCTCTACAATGACCACTTCCATTTGTCCCCAAGGTGGCCGTTGTGGAGAGGTTCAACTGTATTTCACCCTAACTGGGGTTAAAGAGATTTTCCTCTTGATAATGGTTCCTGTTGTAATTTATGGTTTGGGGAAAGTCTTAAATCCCCGTGACACCCCAGTCATATTGCTGTCCGCGATTAAATTTGAAAACTCCCACCCCTTTCCCGCGAACTCAATGTCGTAAAATCTTTCCTTCCTCAGGAGCAGTAAATCCAATCCATTCCCTTGTATTCTCCGGCAAGGCTCGCTTTCCTACCCCTGGGGCAAGCCGATGACATAAGCATAAGCTTAAAAAGTTAAATATAAGCGTACAGCGGGTGATTAAGAACAAGATGTTCCTTTATCTGATTCACATTTTCAATGGATGAAAAGCGTAGCTCGCGACTAAACACCATGAGGTCACTGTAGTACGCATGAGTAGTTTCCCCGTCATCTCTCTTTAAGCCAATGTCGTACACTGAATGGCCTGAATTCTTGATGTCCATTGAGTTGCTTGTCACGTTCTTACTCGTATTCATCTCTCCGTTTATGAAAAGCCTTAGAGTACCTTCTGTTCGTCCCCAAGTCATTGCCACGTGACTCCACTTGTTAACTCGGACAGCATCTCTGCAAAAAATAGAGAGGGGATTGATATGTCATGGGTGGCATTTACTTTTTTAGCCCATTCCTCTCGATTAATTTGACAATAGTGAATTTATTACATTTGAATTAATTCAAAATGGTGAATCCAAGATGGCGAACTTTTCAACAAACATCACCTTACCGAGAAACTACACTCCAAGTATCTAACTGATACTGCTGTTTACGTTGACAGTTATACTTGTTTAGCTATTCAACAATTTTTATATGAGGCTGAGAGTCTAATGAAAATTTATGCCAGTTGAGGAGGCCTCATGGCTCTCTTCTCGTGATACGAGAGCGGAATTCATAATACACTTTAAGTCTGGTTTTCATATGTCGAGAAAATCCCAGACGATCGGGCATTTTACTGTTTCCAGACTGTCCCAGATTTTTCCGACTGATGAAAACTCGAAATCTTAGATATTCCCGATCGTCTTGGATGGACGGGGACAAATCTGAAGAATCGGGCGTTCTATTTTCCGGACGCGTCCCAGATTTCTGCCATGGTCGTCGATCATTCCCGACAAATGAAAACTCAAATTTGTACCGTCGGGGACGTCGGCGATGGATTTCGCTCAATACCAATCCCCTACATTGCTGGGCTCCAGTCCCCTATCACAAATAAACACGGCTTCTCTCGAGAATCTGGTATAGACTTCTGGCGATTATCCGATATATCGGCAAAATCTGGGATGGTCGGCAATAATTAAAATTCCCCATCGTCTGGGATTTTCCCGACATACGAAAACCAGGCTTTCGTGGCAAGGGCGGATTTAGCGGTGGTTCGAGGGGACAGCCTCCCCTGCTCCCCCCTCACTTTGTCCCTCAAATTTAACAATTCTCGGAAAAATAAATAGTATCAAAAAGCTGGCAAGTTATCCCCCCGCCCTTTTCTGAAGGTTCTGGTTCCGCCCTAGCTGATTGGGTTACTTGGTTAAAAACATGAACAGTTCACGAAATCCAGCAAACATGGAATCAAGTTCACCCGCGCACGAAAAAATACTCTCACGAAAGCAGTCACATCAAGGTCAGCGAATTAGGAGTTTGCATCAACTTGTTTTCACCCCGGAAAGCGTTTTTCCCTATGTTCGATTACTCATTGCGTATCGCAGAATACTCGTGGATGTTATTGATGATTGATTATTGCCCCCGCAGGGATTTCGCCCAGAAGGCGAAATCCCGAGGAGGCACTCTAGTAACTCGCGCGTTTATTAAGGAAAGTACTTACGGTTGAAATATACAGTCATACAGTCAATATAGAAAAAATCTCGATTTGCTTGAACAGGGGCTGCGAGGAATCGGTAGGTAATGATGACGTTTCTATTGTTTGCGCCCGCAAGTACGAAACGGTTAGGATGACGTAAAGACAGAAAATCCCGAAGGGACCGGTCAGGTAGATTTTGTGACATTTATTGTGCGCTCATACTCCGATACTCTTTTGTGTTACGCAGTAACATTCTGTGGAGCAGTTGTTTTGAAAGTTATGGACCAAAAGACACTCGTTAAGCGCAGATGAGGTTAGAAGGTGCGTTTAACTGTGTATGTATAAACACTTGGAGAGTTTGCAAGACACGAGTTCACAAATCTTTGATTTATATTGGAAACCTTGCCAGACACTCTTTCTCTCTCTTTGACCGGAATAAGACTCAGCCCCAAACAACCAAGACGAGTGAACAATGGCTAGCTTATCGAACGATGGACGATTACAGAAATAACAGAAATTCGCCGACAATCAAATTCTGTGCTGACTTATTCCCTGCTCACAGATGTCCTTCCGTTATAAAGTTTCAAATAAGACTAGAATGCGCAAGCGTGAATCGATCAAACGTCCTTTTAATTTCCAAGGCTTACTTTCCGGCAAATAACATGAACTGGATGTAAAAAGTAAAGAGAAATAGCGAAAAATTCAACTTCTAATAAATCTTTTCTTATGGTTTAGAATAAACTTTTCTCGAAACTGCGAATGTTTTGATCAAAGTTGTGTAAATCGCGCTGAAACTGTGCGTGGACCCTTGCGTTTCCTGTATTTATCTCACCTATTGTATGGAATATGTGTGAAAATCTTCATTATGAATCGGTATATTTCAGAGCTACACAACGAGCAAGAATAACTATTGACCGACAATATACAGAACGGGGGCAGCTGTAGTGTCAACTATTACCAGTTTATATATTTATTTATTTATTTACCATTTAGGTCTTTTACTCAATATTGAGCATTTTAGACCGCTCTAGAAAAAATAAACAAACAAACAAACAAACAAAGGAAAACAAAAGTGACAGAAATAGCGCTTATGAGTGCAAAGTAATAAAAGCGTCAATAAATGTTTGAAATTGCATTTTTAAAAGCAGCCAGTGAATTGGACAATGCTGTATCCCTTGGGAGTTTGTTCCATTCTGTAATTGTCCTTGGGTAGAAGAAATACTTGTAGTAATCCCTAATGGCTGTCGGCTGTGTGTAAGAGTACTCTATGGAACGAGTTGAGTACGCGTGGCCAGCGGATTGTAGATTGGCATCTTTGTGAGAGACTAGCCTGTGATTAGTAAAGCCTGGAGAGATTTCATGAATACGACCATTCGATGCCACTCGTGGCAATAATCAGATGGATGAGACGACTATACCGACATATAACATATAATAAAGACACGTGATAATACCTACCTTGTACACAATCCCAGAACATCTATATCATATTCATTTCTCGCCTGGGCACAAAAGTGACTATTCTGGTTAATAGACAATCGAAACGACGGAGTATTAGACCAGTCGCCATAAACTGTATACTCTTTCGCCCCCGAGGTCTTCATTTTGATCCATGCGGCGATTGTCAGGTTTGTGCGATGGATGGGAAGAGACGGAGTCTCCGCGAACGTCCCACTGCTTCCATCTGTATACAGAGTTGTCCTTCCATCTTGCTCCTCGTATCTAGCAGATCCCTTTAAGCTGCAAAAGGACATAACGACAGTTTATGTTGTCTCACGCGGCTAATTCTCTCTTCACATAGAGCTCTGCAGGGTAGAGTTCCTACAGTACTTTACGCAACAGAACCCAGTTAAGTTACTGTCCTGACGCGAATACCCTAAAGAGTATACGTGCCTTAGCCTACGCAGGAGCAACTTTGCAAAAGACCCATCGGAGAAAAACGAAGGTTCTGAATGAGTTTTAAGTATCAAAGAACACCTTTAGGTTGCTGTTAGGTTATATGACGGCAGATACGGCTATCAAGCCTAACAGGTAAAATACCTATGTAGCCACGAGAGACTGCGAGTTTTTTCCTGTTCTTTATTTTTTTCATGTTTTGCGTTGCGTAAAGTTAGTTTAATTAGTGCCTTTGTTATCGCGCTTGGAGTAGTCTTTTGTTAGCCTTTTTTCATATGCGTATTCTTTCTGTATACTAGTCTCGGCGTTGCGTTACGTAATCGTTATTGTCAATTTTTGTAAGTTCGTTAGGTTCATTATTTTCAGTCCAGTTTAGTATAAAGTCTTATTTTTGGTTCATGTAAATCAGTCGCTTAGTTGTATCCGGAGTTGCCGTACAGATCTTGTAAGTATAGTTTTTCCTGTAGTTTTTGCTCGTTTTCTTAGTCATTTGTTGTACTTTAAGTTATCGTTTTTGTAAGGCTTTCGGTCCGCGTTTATTAATTCTGTATTTTCTTTTTTTTTTGCTGTAATTGTTCTAGTGAGCCGAGAAGTAAAAGTCGATCTCAAACTGTACGAGAGTGTTCTCTACATGCATTCAAAGATCTGTTAGTGGATGTCATGTGTTCCGGAGTTGATAGGGAGTGGCAAAGAAGACGCCGTTTTCATTCTGAAGATGCTTTAGACAGTCTGCGACTGAAAAATTCAAGAGCTGGGTACTTGTCGAGAATAACCACGTTGTACCGAGAAACTGAAGAACTCTTAAATGATTCAAAGAATGTCAATGAAGTTTCGGAGAAATTATTGGACATTGACGAAGTCTTTGCTCGCTTCGAGAAGGCGCATTACGATTACATTGCCACTTTATCTAGAAACTTAGAAGAATGGGAAAGCGAAGCACGTTATTTTAAAGAACATTGCAACCGAAAGATGAATTTTGAATCAAGAATTGAACAATGGATTCCTAGCGTAAAGGTGCCAGTTGTAACTCACGAAGATATAGACACACAGCCTGAAGATGTCGTCAGCACCGCGCATTTATCTATTAGACAGCTGAAGGCCAAGCAAGCGTTAGCTCATTTAAAGCTGAAACAGTTAACGCAAAAGCAAGAATTATTACGTCAGGAGGAAGAGACTGAATTAAAGTTAGAAGTTTTGGAGGCACAGTATGAAGTCCAAAAAACAGACCTGCAAGTTAAGTTGTTGCAAGATGAAGATATCGATTACCGTAATCTTCCGGAGGTGTTTAAAGAGCTGAATCCGTTTGATAAAGGAGTTGAAGGACGAGCTACAAGCGGCTATAAGCAGGAAGACCCTGAGCCCAGAGGCGGACAGAAATCAATTGAATCCAAACGTTCACAGTCACAGTTGAATCCCAATGCGCTAGAATTCAAAGGTCCACTAGCCAGATCCAGCACAGCCTCCTCTGTTTCAGAAAACGAATATATTTTGCCTGAAGAATTTATAGGCAAGATGGCGTTAACCATAAAACAGGGGTTTGCGTTGCCGAAGAAGGATTTGGCAATCTTTGATGGTGATCCCCTCCAGTACTGGAATTTTATTAAATCGTTTGAAACAAGCATCGTCTCTAATGCAGCTAGCGAAAGCGAGAAGCTGATGTACCTTCTTCAGTACACATCGGGTGTAGCAAAGGACACGATCAAATGTTTTTTGTACAAGGATCCTTCCCTAGGATATCAAGCTGCAAGAAGGCTACTTGAAGAACGGTTCGGACATCCCTTCTGAATTGCCTCGCAGTACGTGACCAAGCTAACAGAAGGTCCTCCTCTGAAGCCTTCAGATCGTACAGGATTATTAGCATTTGCTGACCAGTTAAAGGATTGCGAAAATACACTTGAATCTATTGGCTACCTGGATGAAATCAATAGCGCCGACAACCTAAGAAGAATTGTTCAGAGGCTGCCGTTTCATCTCAGGACTAAATTTGTTGAAGTAGCAGATCAAATCCAGGAAGCAGGTCAAAGAACGAACATTAGTCACATTGCAGAATTTGTCAAAATCAAGGCGAGAGCTGCAAATAACCCTGTGTTTGGTTGCGTGATAGACGACGCACGAGGCAGATCGGATAGTCAGAGACGTAAGCCTAAGCCTAAAAGAGCTACATTGCCCGATGAGCGCGGTAACGCATTCAGTACTCAAGAGATCGATTTCAGAGAAGGACAGTTGAGTTCACCTGGTCACAAAGAAGCACCATCTACGAGATATGCAGTCTGCCCGGTATGCAATGCAGCTCACCCCTTAGCGAAATGCAAGATTTTTATAGAGAAGAATTTCGAAGAACGTCTACAAGTGATGAGGAAAGCTCAGTTATGCCATAATTACTTCAAGTACGGTCACATTGCAGTGGGATGCTTAGCAGGGAGTACATGTGAAGTCCAAGGTTGTAAGAGACGACACCATACTTTACTTCACCCTCCGCCCTCACAGCAATCAGTTGAAAACAGAACCAGAGTCTCGGTTGAACAAGGAACCCAAGTAAGCAATGGCACGCTGTTATCAAGTGGACAGACTAACAGTACCTCAACAGGAGGGGGAAAGGTTTGCCTGAGGGTGGTCCCTGTGAAAGTCCGAAGTCGCGATGCAGACAAGGTAGTGGAAACGTACGCACTTCTAGACAGCGGTTCAGATATCTCCTTATGCGACAAGACGCTAGCGAGGGAGCTTGGAGTTCGAGGGCAAGAAAATACATTCTTCCTGACAACTCAAGAAAGAGAAGACAGCCCAAGAGTTGGTCGTGAGATCAGCCTAACCGTAGAGTCACTTGATGGTACTGACAAGGTTGAAGTTAAAAGACTATGGACTGTTGATAGACTGAACGCCTCACGCCGAAGTATCCCATCAGAGCAAGATACAAAACAGTGGCCTCACCTTGAAGACATAAAGTTACAAAGTATTAGCGAGAAAGAAGTCCGATTAATCGTAGGCACTAACGCGCCAGCAGAGGCCTTCTGGGTATTAGAAGAAAGGCGTGGTAATAGAGGAGAGCCATATGCCATTCGAACACCTCTTGGTTGGACACTCATGCGCCCAGTGGGACGCATCGATTGCCGAGAACGCCATCTGAATGTTAACTTTGTTCGCTTGGTGGAGTCAGCGAGAAAAGATTGTCTCATGCAGCAAGTCGAAAGGTTCTGGGCCATAGAGAATTACGGCTTGGCGGGTGACTCTAACGTGTGCATGTCAGTGGAAGACAAGAAAGCTCTTGCAATCATGGAACGATCTGTGAAACTTGATCAAGGTCATTATCAGGTGGCGCTTCCCTGGAGACAGTACCCACCATTCCTGCCTTATAATCGGCCCATGGCAGAACGAAGGCTTCAAGTACTGAAGAGAAGGTTTCTACAAGATGAGAAACTCTTTGAAAGTTACAAGACCACCATGGAGGAGTACATTGCTAAGGGACACGCAAGAAAGGTACCGTGTAACGAGGTTCATGTAGACGACAAGCGGCCGCTGTGGTATTTACCTCACCACCCTGTGCTCAACAAGCCTGGAAAAACCAGAGTAGTCTTCGACTGTCCAGCCAAGTACGGAGGAACATCTCTTAACGATCAGCTTCTTACTGGACCGGACTTGACTAATTCTATAGTTGGCGTGTTGATGAGATTCCGGGAAGAACGAGTCGCGTTATTAGCTGACATCGAGTGCATGTTCCATCAAGTTAGAGTACCACCAGACGACCAAGACGCGTTTAGATTCCTCTGGTGGCCGGATGGTGACTTGAATCAGCAACCAGTCGATTATCGTATGGAAGTTCATTTGTTTGGTGCAACGTCGTCACCGAGTTGTTGCAACTTCGCTTTGAAAAGGACAGCAGAAGATAACAAAGACGAATTCCCGGAAGAAGTGGTCAGGACAGTCAAAAGAAACTTTTACGTTGATGACTGCCTCAAGTCGGTTAAATCTGCAAAAAACGGTGTGGAATTTGTGCATCAGCTAAGAAGCATTCTGTCCAAAGGAGGATTTCGATTAACCAAATGGTTGAGTAACAGTTCAGAGGTCTTGGACTGCATCCCGCGAGTTGAGAGAGCCCCGTCAGTACTTGACCTTGACCTGGACAAAGTAAACCCACCGATCCAACGGACGCTGGGGCTCAAGTGGGATTTAGAGAAAGATGAGTTTACTTTCAAGGTTACCCTAAGAGACAGACCAAATACCCGTCGGGGAATACTCAGCATGATGAGCTCCGTTTATGATCCACTTGGGTTGGTCGCTCCAGTTGTTCTAACGGCAAAGAAGTTTCTAACCAGGAGAGATGAATTTTGGCCTCGTGATCCTACACTTCTTGAACCGGAGTTATCCGATGACGATCCAGAGATCAAACGTGCTCAGTCTAACAGCCAATCATCGTCTGGCCATCAAAGTGGAGATGTTCTTTCAAGTTTGATCGAGCGCCATTCATCATGGGAATTATTAAAGAGGGCAGTGGCCTGGTTACATAGATTTAGAACGTGGTTCATTGAGCGATACAGTCGAAGACCAATCAGTTCCAAAGTTAAGAGTAGTGTAAATAGAAGAGTCCTGTCGGTAGACGAAATGAAAGAAGCTGAAAAGGAGATTATCAAGCACACACAGAGAATTTCATTTCCCGAAGTCATCCAGGCCTTGCAAAGGATTGGTTCATTACAGCACTCGCGTCAGGCAACTTCCGAGCTGAAGAACCTAAAGATGGCTGGGCATATACGCAAACTTCATCCGTTGCTGGACGAGATGGGAATTCTAAAAGTTGGAGGACGACTGGAAAACGCTCTAATCGACTACGATACAAAGCATCCAATCATTCTGCCTTACCGAGATCACGTGACAGATTTAATCATCTCGCAGCATCATCAGAAAACCGGTCATCTGGGTCAAGAGTACGTTTTGTCCAGCCTGCGCCACCAGTATTGGGTTATTAAAGGACGATCAGCTGTGCGTCGCGCGATCAGTGGCTGTTTTCTGTGCAAGAAACTTGGTACCGTGCGTGGGGAACAGCTGATGGGTGATCTTCCAAAGGAAAGACTGATGTCCGAAGAACCGCCGTTTACTCATGTGGGGGTGGATTATTTTGGTTCTATTTATGTGCGCCAAGGACGTTCAAACGTGAAACGTTATGGTTGCCTTTTCACCTGCCTTGCTGTTAGAGCCGTCCACATCGAAGTTGTACATTCCCTTCACACCGACGGCTTTATAAACGCCTTGCGAAGATTTGTCAGTTTGAGGGGATGTCCAACTACCATCTTCAGTGACAATGGTACAAAATTTCGTGCAGGGGAGAAAGAGCTCCGAGAGTCGTTAAGTGAATGGAATCAAACAACGATTTATGACTTTCTTCGCCAGAAAAAGATCATCTGGAAATTTAATCCCCCTGGAGCATCACATATGGGTGGAGCGTGGGAAAGGATCATTAGATCAATTCGTAAGATCCTTAAAGCCTTGCTGGGACAACAACTCGTCACTGATGAAATGCTGCAAACCCTCATGGCCGAAGTTGCAGGTATTTTGAACAGCCGACCTTTGACACCAGTGAGTAGCGACTCTAAGGACCTAGAACCTCTCACGCCGAATCATCTGCTGTTATTGAGATCGAATCCAAGTTTGCCCGTTGGGTCCTTTGGCAAGGAAGATAGTTACAGCAAGCGCCGATGGCGACAGGTGCAGTACATCTCAGACATATTCTGGAAGCGCTGGCTAAAGGAGTATTTGCCAACCCTACAAGAAAGAGCAAAGTGGATGAAGCCTCGTCGTAGCTTGGAGATCGGAGATCTAGTATTGATTGCAGATGAAAATGTCCATCGCGGAAAATGGCCGTTAGGCAAAGTTGTTGATGTCTTTCCCGGAAAAGACGGATATGTCAGATCAGCAAAGGTTAAGACGAGTCTAACCGTTCTTACCAGGCCAGTAACAAAGTTATGCTTCCTTGAAGGACAGAGAGCGCCACATTGAATTTAGAAAAAAAACGAACCCTTTTTTTTTCCAGAAGCTGTGAAAAAGGAAATTTATTTCATCACTACTAAGAATTCTATTTAAGGATCGCGGACTTACGCTCGTGCCTAGGTAGTGACTCTATTAATGAACTGTAAAGAGACTTGGATAGTTCATTGGGGCGGGCATGTAGCCACGAGAGACTGCGAGTTTTTTCCTGTTCTTTATTTTTTTTCATGTTTTGCGTTGTGTAAAGTTAGTTTAATTAGTGCCTTTGTTATCGCGCTTGGAGTAGTCTTTTGGTAGCCTTTTTTCATATGCGTATTCTTTCTGTATTCTAGTCTCGGCGTTGCGTTACGTAATCGTTATTGTCAATTTTTGTAAGTTCGTTAGGTTCATTATTTTCAGTCCAGTTTAGTATAAAGTCTTATTTTTGGTTCATGTAAATCAGTCGCTTAGTTGTATCCGGAGTTGCCGTACAGATCTTGTAAGTATAGTTTTTCCTGTAATTTTTGCTCGTTTTCTTAGTCATTTGTTGTACTTTAAGTTATCGTTTTTGTAAGGCTTTCGGTCCGCGTTTATTAATTCTGTATTTTCTTTTTTTTTGCTGTAATTGTTCTAGTGAACCGAGAAGTAAAAGTCGATCTCAAACTGTGTTCTCCACAACCTACTTGTCAGTTGTCAGATATTTCTAGTTCAAAAAATCAAGGTGGGTATTCCATACTCCCTATATAGTAAACGTGATAAAGGGAATAGCAATATAAGGTAGGAATCAAACTCGTCCCTCGCGTCTTCGTTATCCTTGACCATGCACTACGCTATTTTGTACATTTCTTTGCTGACATTGCAAGACTACGAGGTGAAACTTCCTAATTTCACGTTTTGTGAAGGACGTGAACACAAGATTTCAACTCCAGAAAAATTTGCGAAAATTTGACAAATTGAACGGGACAGAATAAGAACAACGAGGTTTGAAACAACGAGAATTCACATTTTAAATGACGTTTTCGCCACCGTCGCCGACGGTGGTTGTTTAAGCTCCTGAATGAAGGAAGCAGGAGAGAGTGGAGAACTTATAGTTCTGGGCCTAACACTGGTATTGGCGAATTTAACGTATCAGACTATCGTCACGTCACGTACATGCCGGTGCGGAGTTCACAGTCCAATTTCTTGTTGCAACAGAGAAAATCAGTAAATGAACTAACGGGGAACGAGGGCTCTGGGACTGATTGAGATTGAGGAGACCTTTCATTTTGTTTGAGAACACACAAGCCTGAAAACTACGAATTTTCTTCATTATTTCATATGTTTTCTTACTTGACTTGACTGTCCGTACCATTGAGCCGCCAGTAAGAAAGGAGACCTGAAAGGATTAGATTCACAGTTTCAACAGAGGGAAGGCCTTGAACTGTCAATATATAAAGCGCGGATATAAAATAAATGACAAAAAAAACAAAGGAATGAAAGATTTAAAAAAGGTGGTAGCGGCAGTGAAGGAGGAAAACAATAGAAATGTGATGGTGGTGGTGGCGGTGAAGGGAAAAGAATAGAAATGTGGTGGCGGTGGTGGAGGTAAAACAATAGAAATGCGGTCTCATTTTTGATAACTTGTGTTCACAAGAGCAAATATAAGTAATATTCGTTTATTTGTAAAATTGTTTTGTGATAGATGAAATCAAGTAGTGAATCTAAGCCTCTACCAGGAGCCCGGATAACCAGGAGCGAGCAATTCTCGCCTATGTCACGGCGTTTTTACGGACCAGTTTATTTTTAGACACTTCTTACGGCACTTTTTCCCGCGAAAATGGAATCTCCGCCACGTCTATGAACGCATTCGAAATATAAGATATCAAAAAGGAAAACGTGACGTCATTAAAAGGCAAAACTGATTATCATTTTTAGGTCTGTAGGTTTTGCTGATTGGTTTTCGGGACTTTAAAGATATTCTAAATTCGCACCAAAACCGTTGTTAAAGTAAACTGGTCCGTAAAAACGCCGTGACACGAGTCCACGGAAGTTGCTCGCTCCAGAATATACAGGCTGCTGCCTCTACTATATCGTTATGAGGATATCTCAGTTTTTTGAACTTGGCCAGTGCACGACCTTATCGATATTTCTTATATTCAGTACCATGGCGCGTAGCTCTACCTACCATCAGATATGTTCCACGGACTTGAAGAGGATTCATCTTTATCTGCGATATACGAAGAGACCTTATTTCAGTATAACGATTGATTTGATTTCTTTACTATATGTGGGTTTTATTTACTTGCTATTCCATGTTTTCCTTAGTTCGTGAAATACATGAGAGACTGAGAATTAGGAAGCACGGCATTCAGTCCTGAAACCATCCGCTTTGTGTTTCTTGTTAGTTTCATATACATAGCCGGATCCAGCTAACATTGTAGTTTAGTCCACGCTACACAACAGACAGTGTGTAGGTTATTTCGCTACTTTCGGCCAAGCATATACTGTATTTAAGTAAACCCAATAGGCACTACACAAAATGCCGATGAATCAGTGCCGTATACACGTACCTATTAAGCGCAATTCACAAGTTGTCAAGTTCTGGTAACCACATAAAGAAGTAAATCGCTAAGATCGAGCCCTTACTGTAACCAGCGGTCATCTTAATTTCAATTGAACCGAGAAGGTGAGCGTAGGCGTTTATAGCAACGGGGAAAAGTGGATCTGATACTCTTGAAACTTAGGGAAAAATAGTAGACTGTAATCAGTCTAAACTATCAATTAAGAATAGCACCGACAGACATTATCAAGGCTAAAGTGGTTTAAAACGGAGGCCAAATAATAAATTTGCCGAGCCTTCTCAAATCCCAATCTCCCGCTTAGCCCATCCATGGAGGCTACTATCTGAAAAACTGCTGTCTTTCTTTGTCACAGCCAATTTGTCTCGAGTCATGGTGTAGAAAAACATCTTCTAAGAGTAATGGTCACACCACAAAAGTAGGCGGTATACCACTTCCTTCCGCATGCGCACAGTTATTTCTCTTTGGTATCCACGAAAAACTGTTTCGTTCTGATCTGATTAGGATTCATGAACAAAGCGAATTGAAGCAGCTGTGCGTGAAAACATACCTTCAACGAATTTAACAGTCATATAAATTCGAGTCAAGTCAGTTATGTAGTTCATAGGTCTCGTCTCCTTGGATCTGCTATTTAGTTCACAGATTTTTTCCTCCAGCTTGTAGTTGTAGCTCTGACATCCTGGTTCATTCTCACATCTTATGACGCAATCAGAAGGGCGGTTTACCTTGAATTTCTTAAATGTGTGACCTGTGAGCGCTTTACCATAATCTGAACCTCCGAAATTACATTGACCAGCGGCTTGTCCAAGAGGTATCCAGGATACAATGCGGAGCAATGAAATAAGAGCCAGTAATTTCTGAAACAAGCAAGGCTTCATGGTGCAAGGAGATTTACATCAAATAACCTGAAACGAAACGCAGAAGGCATGGAATTTGATTACATAAACTTATTACATTTGCAAACTGTAACGAAGAAAACTAAGTTTACTTCTCGAAATTCTTTTACTGTCTTTCCAGATTCTTGCATTTAGATTACAGGAAAATAATCATAGTCAAACAAGATACTCTAGAAGGCATTTCCCATTCTCTCGGCAACGAGTCAGAACATACGGCAAATATTAGAGACGACTAGTGAAAATTAACGGTACGCTCATCTGAGACAAACCAGCATTGATAATCTGGTAAACTGCATCCTTGCATATGATTATTTATATAAAAAAATGTCAATCGGCTAATGACCTTGAAATTATTGATATCTCTCCCAATAACTCGAGCGCGTTTTCGATTGGATGCAGGAGTGACAACAAGTCACGTGCCATGCGTCAAAACATTCGAACTCCCAAGGGAATTGTACAGTCCCAAGTAGCCAGTTCCAGGCGTTCAGATGGTGGGGAGCGGTGCGAAGTAAAAAGGAGCGCGAAAAAATAAAAGCGAGGGAGGAGGAGAGGTGAGAGAGGGAACGCCTGTTAGATTTGTTTTAATTAGACTCATCCGCCCACTCAAACCGCATCAGCTGTAGGTGGTCTTCACTTGTCAATCGAGACTGATGTTACAGCCCCATACATTTATTATTTTTCTTACGAATAAATCAAAATTTCTCAGATCAAAAATTAATATTATGTATACATAATCTTACTAAAAACCTAATGTAAGACTTTCAGACAATAGAGAGCGGGAGAAGTAATTTATTTACGGCTTTAAAACATGATTTCAGCGTGTGCGTGACAAAAAAAATTATGAATCAAGTGACAAACAAATATCGCTCATTTCGATAGAAAGCCGTTTCAATACAGATTGTTAACTCGAGTAATGAAAATGCCCAACAAACGAAGGGAAAATTTACTATTCGGTGATTGAGTGGACCTCGTCAATAGCGATAGCTGCAACCTGCTTTCCAAGCTTTCCTTTTGAAGTCCTTTTCTCCATTCCTTAGACAACCACGATTTGTGACTGCAGTACGCCTTTGAGTGAATTTTCAAGGATCATACAATTTCACAACTTCCACTTTTAATGGCTTCATCCACATTTTCTCCCATCATTGCCGCCGCTACTGCGATTTTGTTCAAATGTTCCACTTGGTCTTTCATGATGGCAATCAACGGAGTTACCACAACAATCGTAAATGGCATTCTATCCTGCCTTCATTCCAACGCACGCTTTATTCGAGGAAAAAGCTGGAAAATAAGTCTTTTTCCAAAGCCAGTAGGTGACATTGCGAAGACATCTATCCTGCCGACTACGTATTTTAAACAGTTCCTTTGCTCTTCGCGTTTAGCCTCCACGTTTGGAAAGTCACTCATCGCTGTGTTTGTTGCGAGTTCGAATTCTGGACGGGATGTAGAGTCTGTCATCACCGCCATATCGCATTTCTCGCTGTGATCGAAGACGCTCCACTGTTGACAAAAACTGTCAAAATCAACCAATCAGAGGGTATACCAGGATCTGGTATACCGGAACGCACTTTTGTTAAAAATTCTTACAAGCGTTCCCGCACCTCTCTCCCCAGTCCCCCTCTACTTTTCATCGCTTTCTTTACTTCGCACCGCTCTCCACTATCTGAACGCTTGGAACAGGCTAAGTCCCAAGTGATTAGGTCGTGTGCCTGGAAATCTCCATGGAAGTCTTTTTGCGAGTAGGGGTGGAAAATGGTTAACCAAAAATTGTCGAAAAAGAGAAACTGTGATGAACATTCAATTGAAAGGGAACTTGATTACATAATTAAACTTAGTTTTGCTTTGATTTTGAAAAAAAGATACGGTTCTGTCTTGTTTCATTATCGAAATTTTACGCCCCTATTTTCCCTATTGTTCGCAGTTTGAATCACTTACGTAGCTAACCATTCCTGTTTTAAACCGGTTTACAACTGTACACGTGAATAGGCGAGTTTCGTATTCCCGGGCGGCCTAGGACGAGCGCTTGTTTTTGTGCGAAAGCGAGGCTAATGCGGGTCACTTCTCACCGAGAAGATAAACAAACATGAGAAAACTGCGGCTGAGTTGGAGAAACAAAGCAAAATTTGAAACCTTGAAAAGTTTTGGAGGCCTCAAAAGGCTTACTTACTGAGGCTTGAGAAATCATTGTTTCAAACAGCACAAGGAAAATCAGCTTGTCATCATTAAGAAATACAACAAGCATAACCAGAAATTGACCGAAATAGTGGTCGTTGAGTGAGTTCAGTAAAAATGCGAAGATGATTTCAAAATCCCTAAAACAAAGTAATACCCTGAAGCCATTTTAATGTTATTTTCAGTCATGGTCAAAACTTCTTTAAGCCATATTTTTTTCGATCGGAGAGCACGTACTTGTCGAAAGCTTTTAAGTTAAACTGAAACCTTCTTTTTACTTGACATTTCTTTTAACGGAGCGAATGCAAAATCTTGTGTATCTGGGAAAAATAACCGACAGAGCAGACGTTCTGCATAAATTCCTTGCACTGTAAGGAAGTTAAATCGGTTTAAGGTGGCTCCGTAATTAATACAAGAGCATTTTGCTGTGACAAATTTTCCGTCATAACTTTTTCGATTTTAACGCAATGGCTGCGAAACTTTGCAAAGAACAACATATATCATTCGGCAATAATACGAAATATTCCGATTTCATTGATGGTAAATATTTCTTGAGAAATTAGCGCTTAAGAGGACCCTAATGTTCAAAGAAAATCGCGCCTAGTAAAAAAATTTGCTGATATTTTTTACTGAAATTTCTGGTATCGGCTTTAATTGATATAATAAATATGCCAGAGGAATTTCAGAAAAATCGTTGGAGCAGAAGTCCGTAACTAAAAGTCGCTCAAAATTCAGCTGTGAAATTGTTTTCGAATTTCAAAAATAAATTACTATCAGGAAGAAGGAGACACCAGTTTGAATTTTCGGGACAAGTAAATTCAATGTTTGCTAATTCTGAAAACAAAAGCCGATTGCCTATCGTGCTATTCTTTAAAAGGTACTTTTTAGTTTTAGAAGCACCATAAATTGCTCCAAACCTTGCTCTGAAGTAGAATGACTTGTTCCTCGACATTTTTAAAATATCCCTTGGCAGTTTTGGTTCAAACTCCTGCTACATACATTTTGATGTATTGCAATGCATCCTCAACAGCTTTTCTTGCTGTACGTTGTTTCCAATTCAGGAAAAAGGTATTGGGATTGTAAGCTACCTTGTATCGAAGCTCAGATAGAACTGTCCAGCACCTTTGTTTATGACCAGAAAATGAGCACGTGCGGCAGCTCTGCGAGGAATTCGCACCTCAGCCAGGGGGGACGAATGATTATGCTCTTGTATTAATTACGGAGCCACCTTAAACGAATTGCGAAGATGACTACTAAAACAGCATAAGTTTTTTTAGACATACATAAGCTTACACTTAGCTTACATTATTTCTCAAAATTTCCATTCACGCAAAGAAAAACGTACTCTCATTTCGCTTGACAAGAACTCGAACACGGAATTTTATACCGAAGATATGCTGAGCAGTTTAAACTCTACTTTACAGATATACACAAGAGTAAAATAGAAAACTAACAAATAAGATAATCAAAGGGAATAAAATACTGTGATTTTAACAAATTTTACCTTGTTCAAGCTTCAAAAGTTTACTTCTTCTTTTGGGCTTTTTTCTTTCTTCTGTTAATTCTTCTCAGCTTTTTCTACAATTTCGTTGTTTCCCTTTGGCTTACTGGTAAAGTTTAAGCTTTGAAATCTTATTATTTTTAAGATTACTATTGTTTTCCAGTGTCTCAGCGGGAAATTATCTATGTTTATTTTTGTTTTTGCAAAGAAGTCAGGGGCACCCAACGAGGATATAGTTCAGAACCACTTAACATAGCATTGTTGGACGTATTTTAGTATTCAAACGGTAGATATAGGCATATTTTTATCCCCTAAAAACTTTTCATCTGTTCGCATTTCCTAGCTGAAAATCTAGTGATCCGAAAATTATAGGGATAAAAACTTACCTTCTCGAAAATTTCAGCCAGGAAAAGGCTCCCGAAAATTCTAGGTGGCCTTGTTTAGGGCAAAAATCTGTTTAAAATGAGTAATTATACCATTTTGTAGATGTTCGAAAATCCTAGGAGAGGCAGGCAAGCAAGAAATTTTACAACAAATGCTCCGAAAATTCTAGATCTCAAATCGTCTTCCGAACAGATATTTTCCCGAAGCCAAGCGCAAAGATACAACATGAATTCGATTTTATTTCAGTAACTTAGAAATTTTCAATGGCTTTGAAATTTCACTAAAATGTTTAGCAATGATTAAACTATCAATGAAATGATTTTAAAAAAAAAAAAAAAAAGATTAACTAGTTATTAAACTGCGACTCGAGTATTTTAACAGATTATTCAGCTTGATTTCGAGCCCAGTTTCTAGGTTTCACGTCATCGTTAGTCTGTTGCTCTGGAAGCGGCGATGTCAACAAAACATACTCTAAAATTACGTTCAATGTTAAATGTGTTATTTCGCTTTGTGGCTTTTTCATGCATGCATTACAGCCAACGTTATGAAGCACCAAACACGAAGAGGTGAGACCTTGAAAAATGGGTGCGAGCCTCCTTGAGAGTCTCACTCTCGCAATTACTTATTTTACAGTAGACAGCCGTTATTGCAGAAGCTCATACCTAACTCGGACGTCTTTCTTAAAACACTTCCGCTAAAGACCGCCGATTGGCGGAAAAGCGTAGCGATGTACAAAAAACCTGTTCCAAGGAATCTACTTCGAGTTATGTATTAGATTACCAGACACCTGCCATGTGCCTTGTTCCTGTATCGCATGTGGCACGATTTCTCAATTTTTTCTTGGGAAAAATAGTCCGCGTAAGTATATTTATATGCAGGTCACCTGTTACAGGCCATCCTCCACCCGCCACCCGCTGCAGAATTCTGTCTTGAAAAACCATGGTTTCAGTATAGACG